CATATTAGAAGCTGTAACACAAGAAATCCCGAAACATTGTATGCCATTCCTGTGAATACCGACGCATTACGTAAGTGGTTATAATTGTGCGGATTGCACGATATTGTAAAAGTACTACATATGTCGAACACATTTCAGCACAGTCCGAGCCAAACCTTGAAGTGTTTGATCCACTGCAGCCGCCAACTGTTTTGGAGACAGCGGATACGGAAGATCATGAGTATGAACACAATGCTGAGGATACACACGATGTTAACACACTAACCAGTGATGCCGACCAAAAGCAGTTTGAAGGCGACTATGCAGCTAAACAGAAATACGAGAAAAACTGCAGAAAGTGTATGAATAACGAGAATAGATGCCTTGAAATGCAAGAGCAGATGGATGCAATGAGTAAAAAGATAATTAAACTGGAGAAAATGCTTGAACTGAGCACTGACAACGAGGAAGAGGAGTACATATGGATGTTTCTCAAATAAATTCAAGCACGAAGCACGTTTGGCATTACCATTTTATTCATCTTACTCCATCTGGAGCTCAAGCTGCAAGAGGCGCTGATTTGTGGAACAATACGGCATGGTAGCGGCCATATTGGCAATTGCCTTGGCACGTTCACGCAGCTCGTTTAATCGCTGCTGCTGTGTTGAATTGCCAGACACCAATGGCTTCAGCTGTTGGTATTGTGTGAGTGCTAGATCCATTGCTGCCAGCATGACATCAGGTATGACCTTAATGACATCACCACTCAGTTGCTTCACGTTTGCCAAGCATACGTCCACATCTTCAGTGCTATTGGGTATAATATTTGGTATGCCCTGTAGCTGCTGTAGCGCTGCCCAAGACTTACCATCGTGATAGTCGTCAAAGAACTTGAGCAAATCACGCAACAACGTAAAGCTCACAAATACCTTTGGCTCAATATCCGAGGAACGTGCAGCAGTTAGCTGCGTGCTAAAGCGCTTGGCTTCTAGGCTCAGTCGCGCTCGCAGTGTACCCTGCGCTGGGGGCTGCTGCACCACCTGCGCCAACAGTATCGAAGTATACTTCAATGCCAGATTTAGATTGCCAGCAATGTCATAGAGACGTATCGCCATCTCAAAGTTGCCACGCGTCACCATTTCATCAGCCACCAGGCCAGCCATTGTATGCGTATCGAACTCTGTGCAGCTGAACTGTCCAAACAGGCCTCTGTAGACGAAATAAAATAATGATATAACTTTGAGCATATATAGTAGTAATAAGCAGCAATGCCAATAAATTAAATTATTTAAAAAGAGAATCAACTATAAATTTATATTACATACCCCAATAATGTAACATCATCAACACCTTCTCGCTGTCGCTGTCCAAATATTAAATCAAATATGCTGGTGTCCAGCACACCGCTGTCAACGACCAAGTCACAAACACATCTCAGAAACATGTTGCGTCCCTTGGGATCGTTCAGGTTGCGCAGTGTGAAGTAGTAGTGAAGTGCCTCGGCAGTGTCCATTGCCTCAAAGCGATGCACATATAGACGAATGAGCCGCGCCAAATTAAGACGACGCAGCGGCGTGGGATCTGATATGTCAATAGTGAGCAGAGGTTGAGAAACGCTTCGTACGCCACCTAGCATGCCCAGCTCATGCAGAGCTATCGCCATGTGCACAGCATGTACTCGATTAACATCTGAGCGAGCCAGGAATTCAATTGCTGCTTCGAACTGGCCAGTGAGTGCCAACGCTTGGAAATACAGATGTGGTTGCTGGCTAGCATTGAAATACTTCTCGCCATAGTTATCTATAATCAAGGTTTGGAGCTGGCCATAGCCTGCTGAGTCGCCGGGGTGCAGCATAGACAATCTGATCCAGATAAAGTCGTCAATTGTTTTAGCCACCTCGCCGTGAACCTCGTTAGCGTCGCAGCCAAGCAGGATGCAATAGACAGCCTTCTTATATGCATCAGTGGAGTTGCGTATTTTGTTGGCGTACTGCAGTTTCAGTTGACTCTCTATCTTGGAGTTGACCACTCCTCCATTTCGATCTGCAATCAGTTGAGCAAATTCATCATAGCTGGAGCCGGCTTCGCGTAAGAAATCCACAGCCGTATCAACAGCGCCGCAGCGTAAGCTATAATAAATGAGTGGCCAAAGGGGCTTCCCGCCAGCTGTGTCCACCAGGCCGATAACTTGTTGACCACTAAAGCAACGATTTACATAGGCTCTCACCAATTGATAGCTATCGATATCGCTGGCCATGTTCACCAATGATTTGATGTAGACTCTGTAGCGTCGCTCCAGATGCAATTTGGCGTTCAGTACAAACTCTGGCCGGTGGCGATTCTTGATGGGATCGCCCTGACAATGAACTTCGCTCACCTGAGTTACGTTCGAAAGTAGCATCCATATGTCGGTAAGACGCGCATCTTCAAAACTGCTGGTCAACTGTGCATATTTCTGCACTAGATTTGGACGAGGTTCGCCCTTGAGTATGAGGGCATTGTACTGGCACAGCTCCTGTGCATATATTAGACCCATCTTATCGAGACAGGAGAGAGGCAGGCATTCTGGATTCAGGATCGTGTGATCGGGCAACCGCTGCAAGTCAATAAAATTCTGCGACGGTCCAATCAATGCATCAAGTAAACGTGTTTTTTCCTCGTTCCAGGAGCTTATTAAATTTACCCATTTCTGCTTGCTAACCGAGTCACTGATCTGTACAGAATGTAATTAAGGAAATATATGTCATGTCATGTCATGTCATATATGTAAGCAGAAGTACTTACATTTCTATTAGTATCTTCTATGACAGACAATATTGCATTTTCACGTTCGTTTTTTAGGAACGTGCAAACATCTGTCTCCGCGCCAGCTATATCCAGGGGCTCAAAAGTCTTACTCGCGCTGAGTGTCTGCAGCTTTTGGTTCAATTTCGGCAGATCAATACCCTTGGAGCCAAGCAATATTTGACTACGGATAAGAAAATACTTTTAATTCACTTGTGAGTTTTTAGTCTCGAACATTATAACTAACGCTTGGATTTCTTTGGTGCCGGTCTTGGTGACACGCCTGTGCAGTTCCTCTGTGGCTTGCAACACCTGATGGAGTGTTCTTTCCACGCCGGGCAGTTCGCAGTCATTCTTTTCCTTCGTTAGGCTTTCAGCACGCTGCAGCAATGTATTTAGATCCATTTTATAAATCTTTCAGCGCCAAATAAAAAACGCGGACAATGCCGAAACGTAAACAATGTCAAGTGTTGCAATACGAGTCGAATAATTTTTTCACACTTAACAACACTGAATTTGTTACCGCGTCATTTAAAATGCGAACACGGCTAAACGAAATAAATCAATATTTATTGTTTGCTTAAACAGTTGCTAAAGTTACTACTATTTAAGTTTTTTGCTTATATTTGTATAGGCAGCTGCTGTGTATAATGAATTCCCATTCATACAGATTTCGACGCCTTGTTTGGAATATGAGTCATTGTTTAAGAGATGCAAATCGCATTAGTATATTTTTTTTCAACCTTAACCTCTTGACCTACTGTCTCGATATTTAAATTGATTGTTGAATACAAAAAAGTTTCCAGTCGTACTTCTGCTACATTCGATTCATTGCAATCGCTTGCTACGCGTAATTGGTAAATTAAAATTTTTACATTAAGTAAGTCATCAAATATTGTTGTATCTGAACTCTATATTATGCGTTAGAAGCTTTATCTCGTTCAGAATTTTATTTATTCAACTGTCAAATCAGTATTTGCATTTGAGTCTTTGATTCTTATCTATAAATTCAATTAATAGTTTTTAATATGTGCTGTTGAGAAGATATATTTTGCTTTGTTTTGTTTAAATGATTTAATCATAAGCTTATTATTACAGCTTGACAAGCCAAATACACACCCAGTAAAAAAAATACGACTTATTACTTGTAAAATTATATTTAAATTGAAACTAAAGACATTATAACTTGCATTGTAACTGAAGTGTTATTGTTTTGAAAAATTGTGTACTAACTTAAACCTGCTTTGTTGCTAAATAGTCACCATTAATGATGCTAGGCAACATTTTGGATCCTTACATATTTGTTAAGATTTTTATTTGTTTCTTTTGTTTGCCCTTATAACTTATAGGTACTAGTATGTAAATTTCGCCATCCGTCCTAGGACCAAGCTGTTTTTTATAAGAAAAATCAATTGTACACGCCAGAAACTGCCAAGTTCTTATGATACAATACAGCTGCTTTTCTCGGGCGGGTTACCATTCTCGTTCTCAATTAGCATAAGTAATTGATGAAAAATATCGCCCACAGACTGAAGAAATGCAAAGGTCAATATAAATTTCATAGCGAATATCTCTCACTTGACAATGGACTTACCTCATTTTGCTTTGCAGATGTTTCGAGAAACGCTGCCCGCCAGCAATCGGCGAGTTTTTTGCCCTCTTCTGTTGAAACTGTGCGCTCCTGATGCAAATCCGTCTTATTTCCTACTAAGACTACAGGTACACTAAAAAATATCATTAAAATATGTAAACACATTTTAAAACTGAATTCGAATTGACATAGTCTATAAAAATATCTTACTATTTCTTGCCCATCACATCCAATAGTTTTTCGTAAATAATTTTAATGACTTCAAAAGATTTTTGACTGGTTATGGAATACACCAGAACGTATCCATGAAAGTCCATGCTGTATTGCACCGGAAATATGCTATATTCATCTTGTCCAGCCGTATCGACCAGTTTAACGTTATAGTCCTGCGAGTTGACGCGTGTAATTTTGGTGAATGCTGGAATTTCATGAAAGTCAACGCGTACACATTAATCGTTTATCAAATGACGTTCTTTGTGCACGCATTAGCCACATGAACATAAACCTTGAATGCCATCAGCATCCTCAGTGATCCACGCTGCTTTCTATGACTAATCTTAATTGATTTGCGAGTGCTGCTTACGTTTACTTTAATGTTTAAGTTAGCAGGAAACAGCCTACATATAACTTACTATTTTCGATTGTTGGATCGTAAGAGTCCACGAATTGGCCTTCGACAAACTGTATACTGAGCGAAGATTTACCTGTTAATGCAAGTGAAGCGCAATTATTATTATATAGGTATTTTTTCAATTGTTAGCAATGTTGTTGTCTGTTGTCAAAATACTACGCAATTACACCATAAGCAACAACAACAACACAAACGCACTTACGGGCCATTTAACAACACAAATAACAGCAGAACGATTAGTCAGACTGCTGGTGCTGATGCTGGAGTCAAACTCATATTTGCTTACCCACTGAGCGGTATCCCATCATGGCTATATTGCGTTCTTTTGGTGGCATTATGTAGGCCTGTTTTATTATTTCTACTATGTATAATTGGTTTTGCCCCTAAGAGGGTGTGTATTTGTATGTGTGTGTGTGTGTCTGTGCGTTTGTGTGCGCCTTTTATTCGATTGTGGACTTTTAGACCCTCGACTTGCTCTAGATACTTGTTGCTATCACAGTTATAAACTTTCAGCAGCGAAGTTTCAATTGTATATTGTTTAATTCAATTATGTATTATTTCACAGAAAACATTCTGACTTTACACTAACTACGCGTTTTCTTTGGCTGTGGTCACCCAAACTATTTAACATTTGGTGCACTGTTATTAACAGCAAGGTACTCCCTAATTTAATCTTTAATTTTGACGTTGAATGTTTAGATATGAAACGAATGAACTAACTGCTTAATGTAAAAAGCTTAAAAGAACCACAAATTAACAGCTCAAGAATTTCAATATATCGAAACTATATTTTACAAAAAAAAGATTGATACACAAAAATACCAGAAATACTGTGTTATCGAAATGGACCAAGCTCACATCCCTAGAGTCGCTAGAAACATCTGTTCTCTGAAGCGTTTTTACTGAAAATTCGCTCTTCAGCTTAATTGTTTTATTTGAATCCGTTTGGCTAGAAATTTCGCCCTTGCAATGGGCACGAAGCGTCGCAACATCGAAGACGAGCTCTCACGATTCGAAGCTGAGATCTCAAAGCCGCCAGCTCGAAACCTCTTTGTACCCAATCAAGTGCGTCCGATTATCGCGGCAAATACGTATACCAACGTTCAGCAGAAATTGCAACAGCATCAACCTCGCATGACGGTGCCTCCGCCTCCAATACCCCCACCACCAACATTTATGTCGACATTCGTACCGACGGGAAACGGCTCATCCACATCGCCAATAAAACCCACATCCGCCACCCCGGTTGTACTTAGCAGTGCACCGAAGCTTTATCAATGTCGACAGTCGGTTCATGTACCGACGGTGGCCACGGCGCCGGCAATCGATATCAACATTAATTCTATACAGTTTGATGTCACGCAGAAACTCAAGAAGCTAAAGGCAGAAAAATCGGGACCCAATCCGATTGCAGAGGAAGCTATCAAAGCAGCACGTGCCTCATCGGCGCTCCAATCGTTTCAGACCACGGAACGGAAGAAAAAGGACCGAAAGACGGTACGCATCGCCGGTGGCACTGTGTGGGAGGATTCCTCATTGGCAGACTGGCCGGATGATGATTTCCGTATCTTTTGCGGCGATCTTGGTAATGATGTCAACGATGAGGTGCTCACGCGCACTTTCAATAAGTTCCCATCATTTCAACGGGCGCGAGTTGTGCGGGATAAACGAACCGGCAAAAGCAAGGGATTTGGCTTTGTTAGCTTCCGCGAACCGGCTGACTTCATACGTGCAATGAAGGAGATGGATGGACGTTACGTGGGCAGTCGACCAATCAAACTGCGCAAGAGCACCTGGCGACAGCGCAGTCTGGATGTGGTCAAGAAAAAGGAGCGTGAAAAGCAGGTGCTGCTGCAGGCCTTCAACTCCATGAGTTAAATGCGCTGCTCCCACTGAACCGAGAAGAATCAGTTTTAGGCTAGTTTTGGTCGCATTTCGATGTAAATAAATTTGTTTTTAGAATGTCTGGATGTGGCTACTGATGAATAAGCATAAATTAAAACAAATGTTAAAATACCTATTTAGCAAGCGAAATAAGTGATGTAATTATTTAGCAAAGATCTATTACAATATTGAACCAGACGTGTGCAACAAACAATTAACACAACACAACTTACTGTACACAACTTAAGTTATTGATATTGATTAGTTTTATAAGTTAATATGTATGTGCCACGCCTCGTACTTAGCTTAACAATTGATCTACAATACCCAGCTACACTATGCTATTACATACATACGTACATCTAACCTGAACAGAATTCCCGCACAGCTGTGCATTAAAGCCAATATTAACTGGTATGATTTACCATTAGGAATACCTTAGCGTAAATTTCGCAAGTCGTTAAATGTCTATTAGTAGACCACATGTACTTTTTACGCCCTTAAAAATACTTGTTCGATGTAACAGTTAAAACCTTAAGCTTTAGAACCACTTGCTCGTCTGTTTACTAAGCAGCGAACTACAGACTTCGCTGTTTGGGACTTCATCCTCTATTGAATCTGTCTCTGATCGCTTATGTTTGGGCCAACGGACATATGGCTTGCCCGCATTGTTCGAGAATATTGAGGGATAATATTGTCTGTAGCTGAAGTATCCGCAGAATATACCAATAAGTCCGCCCACTGTCACGTCCTGCCAATGATGATGATAGTCGCAGGTGCGACTAACAGCCACTAAGGCGGCCACAATAAGAGGCAGAACAGAAATGCATATTCGCCAAGTCTGACCCCTTCCACGTGCGTCGAAGGCATGTAGCTTGGCGCCAATATAGTAAGTGACAAACCCAAAGCTGGCGAAGGCAACTAAAGAATATTTGGAGGATCAGATCAATGTACATTCCAATTGGCATTTGCGTTTGCTCACTTACAGGATGAGTGTCCACTAGGGAAGCTCTTGCGTCCCTCGTTTATAATGCTCGGCTTGCCCGTGCAATTAAAATCGAGTAGTGCGCTGCCAAGAGCGCTGGCAGTTTCGTTTAACACCATAACACCATCGGGAAAGCAACGATAGAAGAAGTCTGGACGCGGTCGTCCGACGGTAATCTTTAATAAACTCGTCGGGATGCTATTCATGCACACCGCTAATGTCCACGCCCAGCTGGCAGCCCGAAAGTCTCTGCGGTCTTTGGTAAATGCGTAGATTAATGATGTAAGGCCAAATGGTACGGCAATTACCAAAAACAGCAGATCGCCACTCTTAACAATATCCGGACGGATTGGATTTTTATACAGCCATAGCTCTTCGACGTGGATTTCCCGCTTAAATGCGTTCATCGTTTCCAATTTGCTAAAAGTCAAATTGAAAAAAATGTTTATAAATCAACAATTCAGTCTACGCGAAAACCCAGATAAGCTCCTCCACACTACTTACAAAAATGCCAATACAATCATTATACGTATAACTATATCGGCCACGTTGCTGTATTTCTTCGATGACTCCTGTTGCTTGGGCTCAGCCTCTGGCAGGAGCAGATCCTTTTGCTGCAGCTCATTACGCCACATGTCGTCGTCGTCGACTTCGCTTTCCAACTCCTTAGTGGAACCTTCGCCTGGATTACTTCGATGAGGCGTTGATTTCACAGTTGTTGCTGCTGACATTTCGGTCAATTGGGTATTGTGAGTTGGTTCAGTTATGAGTTCTGTGTACGGTTGCCTTGTTGTCTGAATAATTGATAAGAGATAACGATTAGCAAAGTCATTAGACTATTAGACGAGCGGTATACGACTTATATATATGTACATATTGATGAGATAAGATAAACAAGCACAAGCATAAAAGGACATATGTATGAACATACGTTTCATGTAATGTGTGTGTGAGTATGAGTGTTAGTTTAATTTGCAATTTGAATGACTGTGAATCTAAATTGTGAACTTATATCACATTATATAAATACAGCATTATGTGTGTGTAACATTTAGTCATACTGTGGGTCACTCTCTCATTTGCATTTAAGTATTTATTTGGTTATTGTATGGGTAAAAGTAAACACAAACAGACAGAGACTAAACATCAATAAATTGGTGGCACCTGTGCTACTTCATCCAACCAAGACGAAGTGTCGTCATCACCGCCTTGTTTGTTGTTGTTGTTCACTTGCTTTCCGCATTTTCGACTACGTAAATCCGATTCCGCACTCTGGCTATGAAGCATTGTCGAAAGCTTCTCAAATACGTATACCTTCAAGTTTGGGTCTCTGGTTAAACGTTGTCAATTCTCTTATAATTTCAAATTGCGGAATGGTTAAGTTTCGGTATTATCAACTGGTACTTCTAAGATTACGGCCTAAACTAACTACTACCTGCTAATTGCACCGGGGCTTTATAAACTTTCTCTCATCCGCATTTGCGACAGTGATGTATCAACATTCCGAACATTTCGAACCGAAGCTTCTACACTCTCGCTACGCATTTAACTGAATTTAACTACAATATATATATATATATATAATATATATATATATATATATATGTGTGTGTATATATTCATCGATCATTATCAAATAATAAACCTATTTTATGAATTTATGAATTTCTTATTAGATATTTTTCACCAGTCTTGTTAGGGAATAGGTAAAGTATTGGAAATATAAACACACTTTTTGTAGAGTAAGCTAGCATCTGCATATGAAGTTAACAGTAGTGATGTTCATCATAGTTCAGCTTTGAGTTTCGTCAGTACCATCTGTTGCATCAGCTGATAAGTAAACTATTCTCTATTACTTTATTATCTTTAATTTATAGGCAGTCTTAGACAACGTTTTTAATCTTTTTGCATTTATTAAAATAAATATCATTTATATTATTTCCAAGTATTATCTATTGCAACTTGTTCACATTTGAACTACTCACCCCTTTTATTTATAAAATTTATACATTTACTTAACATGCCACTGTTCATTAACATAAGCAAAACACAGCGTTGCCAACCATGTTAAAGAAAAAAAGAACAGGCTTGTTTTCGATCATATGATTAAAGCTGATTGTGTTTATTTTTTCATAACAAATAGAGTCAAGTTGGTTAATTTATTTACAAGATTATAATTAACAATTCAGTACATCACCTAAATAAAGTTTAAAATGTCTGACGCAAACATTAAAAGTGATAGATGTGCCGCCGGACAATTGCTTGACTCCCTCTACTTGAATATGTTTCACCTAATTGAAGCGCACACCCAATGCCGCATAGATATCGAACGCACGAACTCCGATGGCGCAATTCTTCTAGCGCGAACAAAGTTCCAACAGGGAGGACAATCAATATCAACCGCACAGATTCCAACGGAAAATAGTGCAGAGTTTAATGCGCTCTGTAGAGTTATAAATGCCGCAGACGACGATATCAGCATTGAGCGACATCCGGTAGACAAGGAGAATGGCTATGTGGATCCTTTGTATTGGTTTAGTGTATTGCCCCCAATGAGTCTACGGAATGCTGTAGATAAATTTAAAAGGACCATCGAATTGATAGCGGAGAGTACAAATTTGCAACGGGAGCTTAATAAAGTATTAAATGGCATTGGCAGGTTACGGCAATCTGCTGCGCTATAATAATATTAAATATTTCACATATTAATACAAAATTATAAATAAGATTAAAGTTGCAAATACGAAATTCCAAAATGAATGAATTATGTACTGGGAATATCCTATTTTCGCAACTCATATTTATCGAAATAAATGTACTATCGATAATAAATAATTTAGAACAATTGCAATATTGCGCAAGTGGATAGTCTCGTCAGCTGTTTCATTTTTATTTTTACAGTTTGCATTCTCCGTAAGTGGACAGTCATTGCTCATCATTTTCGTATCTGACCAATGAATCGATATATATATGTATATTTATATATATTTACATATGTGTAAACTTTAGAACAAGCAATCAATAATTGCAAAAAGCAGATGCGCAGAATTGGTATTAAGAACGTATTCGAACCAATTGTAGATTAAATTATAGAACATGCAAATTATGAATAATAGAGGCGTAGCGCCCAGCAGATAACAGTTTTCACGTTCTCTTGAAAATTCGCACGCAAACAACAACAACAGCGCGCCTTTGTTGCTGTGTCTGCGCTTGTGAGCTGCGGGCGACATTCCCGTTTTGAGATTTGTCGCGCGTGGCTACCCCACCCAAAATTTCGCAAACACACAAACACCATAGTGCCTGTAAAGCGCAGCCATGGATAACGCTCAGCCTAATGGAGCTACGCAAGCGTCTGAAGCGCCCTTGCTACAGTTGGAAGATGAGGTGGATCTCATTGGCGACTTTGTTAAGCAGCAATCAACAACAACAATGAGTAATAACCAGCTGGCACCGCTCCTGAATGGTCACGATGGAATAGTCAATCAATTGACTACTCAAGTCGAGGTGAGCATTTCGACTAATCCCAAATCGAAAAAAAGTCTTATACTGAATTTATCTTCCGTCTGCATAGATAAATACGCTTGGGGTGAACGACAGAGCGTCGAGCGGCAAACGAAGGCCAAAACGAAAGCCAAAAAGAGATCGCGATCAAATTCTATTATCAGTTGACGATGATGATGGTGAGAATGATGCTGATAATGATGTTAGCGTCTCTGATGATGTGGCTTACATTGATGGCGCTGGCGGCGATGATGGTGAAATTGTTGATGTATTTGCCGTTGGCAAAAAGCAACCACAAAGAAAACATCTGTTAATGCTGCACGACATCGACGACGACGCTGATGCCGATTGCGAAGACGAAGAAGACGTTTTACTGCACAAAAACCAACCCGCACTACGCAATGGCAAATGCAAGCAGTCAAAGGAGAGCAGTGAGAGCGTCAGCGGTAGATCAAGCGTAACGACGCCACAGCCGGCGCTTGGGACTAGTCACATTGTAACACCTACGCGACGCGGTACAACAACGGCATTAGCGTCTGCAACATCACCGCTAAAATCAACGACACGCTTGCCGCATGAGGAGGCCGATGATATTTGCCTGGTGCCAGAAATTGACTTCGAGGGCATGTCCACGGACGCAGGCAGTGATAATCGCGAGTCACAGCCGCTGCTTGGTGGCGGCGGTGGCGGGGGCAGCCATGCAAGTCGCATAAGCGATCTACTTGGCGGTCTGGGACGTGGACATGATCACGTTGATCTCATGTCGAATACCTTTGGCGGTAAGTGCTCTCTGCATACTCTGCGCATATGAAAAAGTAACAATCTCTGATGAAGTCTTACAAAGTCATGTGGGGCTTCCTACTTTGGCAATGTATGTGTGCGTGAGTCAGTAATTCATGTGAATGACTGTCGTGGACTTTATTTCTATTGTTCAGCTTGCCATTTACATTTGACATTTAATCTAATTTTCTACAACCAACTGGCATAATACTTTACATCAAAGACAATAAGATGACTCAGTGTATGCTTAACTGGGGTATACCCTGTAGTATAACTAATGCGGTTTTCACGCGATTATTGTATAGTGAATATATAGAAAACAGCAATTCCACTTAGTCTAAAAATATATAACTAGCAAACAAAGTTTTCACTTGCATAAATACTCAAAACACGCGCTGCAGGCAACAAATTGGCTTCTCCCCTTCAATTTTCGCCTATTATTCAATCATTATAAGATATACTACATTCGGCGTTTGTCGTGCATTCTCTCAGCTACTTTTGCTAGTCTAAAAATGTGTGATTTGTAAAGTGAAATACAGATGATTGAATTGGAAATAGTTTGGTTGATAGAAATAGATTAACTAACGAACTAAAATTCGAAACAGCAAGTGTTGAAATTTCATTGTATTTAACTTCGAAATAAGATCATAACGTTTAAATTGTTCGTAATTTCATGTATTTGTTATCATTTAGGATTTATTTTAATCACATTTCGCGGTTCGTGCCAAATTTTGATCACAACAAATTTTGAGAACGTTAAAATGGGCGTTTGGGTAATAACATTCGTTGCTCAATGGACATAAGCAATATATCAAGAGTAGACTACGAACTATGATCAGCAATGACATCAAACCAGACAAATGTAGAAGCTAAAAATGTAAAAAACGCCGATGCGCGTATAACGTCCTCGGCAGTACGGGATGGTGTCATCGCCTCAGAATCCAGTGATTCGGATTATGAGCCTTACGGCTGTCAGTGCGAACGCAACAAATGCGATGCAGAAGAAAAAGACTTTTTGACATCGGGAGAGGAAACACCGCCCAATTTGTATAGTGCGCCCTCTGGAATGCGCAACTCTAATGATTCTGTCACCTTTAAAATAGTTCAGCCAAAATGTCAGTGTGCCAATTGCCCGTTGAAGAACATGTGTAAGTCGCCGTCCCTGCCGATGTAGAACCTACGTATATAAATGTGGGTCAGAGCCTATCTAAACGCTTTAGATATGCAAATTTCGAAATGTTGGTTTTTAATGAGGCCCCCATTTGATGCGATGGTAACCTGGAGCAAGTTTACTTGGGCACCGACACACATTTTATTGTGATGCCGCGTTCATTGAGCTCCAGTCGCGAGAATTTTATTCAACACGTATTTACCATTTGCCAGGATCCCAGTGACTTCAATGATAACTTTGACTTCATAGGTAGTAAAACAGTGATCAGTGATAGCTTTGTCTTGCCACAGCAGTATTCATACATCTTGGTTTCTCCCCTGTGGCAGTGTAATATTGTGCTTAAACTAAAATGCCAGCTGCATCTGCATTGTGGTTAACCAAATGTTGTTGACCCCGCCACGTCTTAGCTATATTTATACACGTATATATCTATAGATATTCATATATTATTATACATACAATATTATTATTACATACAATAGTCACGCTACGTCGAAGACTTATTAAATTAAATTCCAATGTTGATTAGTTATTTATGAAATACGATTCTAGCTTGAAGCTCTTTTTACAGTCTGCGTTTCGACATTATTCAGAGCATGCGCATTTTTGTATTACGCACAAATTTTAGTAGTAAATTATATATAAATTTTCCTTTTAAAATTATTTTGCAACATTTATTTAACATTTTCAGACGATCCGCTCTTCTCGGAAATCGTTGCACAAGCAGAATATGCAATCGAGCAGGGCGTTCTACCTGAGCGTATCTATCAGGGCAGCAGTGGTTCCTATTTCGTCAAGAATGCTTCAAATGTAAGTTGAACTAAGTTAACCAAGTGATAAGTACTTCTAGAGATAAGTGCCAAAACTTCTTCCATTAAGTATTTATTTTATTCCTCGGAGAAAAGCTTTATAAAGCAAGTTGCTTAACTTCCAAGGGTAATACAATTTTGTTATTAATATCAAATGCGCCTCGCATAGTCCAAGTTACTAAGTTAAAACTTGTGATTATATAAATGAGCGCAAATAGTAAAGCATCAAACAAACGGGGAAGTCTTGTAATAGAAGTATTTCACATGACTTTTGGTTTGGCTTTGAAATAAACAATTAAAAATGTATTTAAATATAAATATAACTAATGAATGATTAACGTTTGATTTTTAAATAACAGCAAAGATGTCTGGCTGTCTTCAAACCCAAAGATGAAGAGCCATATGGGAGACTGAATCCCAAATGGACCAAATGGATGCATAAGCTTTGTTGTCCGTGTTGCTTCGGTCGCGCCTGCTTAATACCAAATCAAGGGTAAGTTTAACGACTTGGCAATAGACATATTAACTACATTGAATAACTGTTGAATCTGATAGCTACCTGTCCGAGGCTGGCGCCAGCTTGGTGGATCGTAAACTCAATCTAAATGTGGTGCCGAAAACACGAGTGGTCAGACTGGTGGCTGAGAGTTTTAACTATGCGCGCATAGACCGCCAGAAGGCCAAGTTGAAGAAACGGATCAAAGAACATTATCCGTCTGCTCATTTTAACCGTATGAGCTTGCCACTAAAGGTGAATAGTCAGCCTAATTGAGATATTTTCAATATTCAAGTAGTGCTATCCATTCCACAGACTGGATCATTTCAGCTTTTTGTATCGGGATACAAGGATGCCGATTACTGGCTGCGTCGATTCGAGCATGAGAAATTGTCGCCAGCGCTCAACAAATCTTTTCAGCTACAGTTTGAGCGTTTAGTTGTTCTCGATTATATTATACGTAACACGGATCGAGGAAATGACAACTGGCTTATTAAATATATTGCGCCCAAACTGATGGGCGAAGTAGGTGGTACTGGTGGCAAGAGTATGTCACGTGGCGCAAAATTCGTGCCTGGCCAGACAATAATAGACCTTAATGAGCCGTCGGTGGCGCCAACTAATAACATAGAGCGCACTACAGGTGGTGGTCAACCTACGCCCACATCTATGGGCGTTGCTGAATCAGCAATTGGTGGCCCTAGTAGCAATGGCAGCAGCGATGATGAAACAAGGCACGATAAAGTAGCTCCGGCTGTCCCTGACTGGAATATGGTCGAAGCACCACAAATTAGAATTGCCGCTATTGACAATGGTTTGGCCTTTCCGTTTAAGCATCCGGATTCATGGCGAGCATATCCGTATCATTGGGCGTGGTTGCCTCAGGCCAAAATCCCTTTCAGCAACGACATAAAAGATCAAGTGCTGCCGCAGCTGTCCGATATGAATTTTGTGGAAGAAATATGTACCGAACTGCTGTACTTATTCCAGCAGGACCGAGGTTTTGATAAACGACTTTTTGAGCGGCAAATGTCAGTTATGCGCGGTCAAATTCTAAATCTCACACAAGCGTTACGGGATGGAAAGTCGCCCGTGCAATTGGTTCAAATGCCCGCTGTTGTTGTTGAACGGTAATGAAGGCATTGTCTATAAAAACCATGAAATCAGATATTAACTATTATCTCTCTCGTTCGGCATCTTTACACAGCTCCAGCGGCAGTCGTTTTTTTTCATTCACACAGCGCTTCCAGAATAAGAGTCCCTTCTTCTCTTGGTGGTATGTTGTCAGCTATATGAATATATTAATCAATCAATTTATTATTTGATCAATTTTTTGCTTTTTTCAGTTAATTGGGCTCAGACATGCCGGAGTTACTGTATTACCCACCAAATCTTCTGGTCTGGTCGCAAAGTTATTGTCTAATTATGCGCTTTCTTGTTATGTACTATATAAACAAAAGTTTTTAGTTGTATACAATTAATTTGGATTTTGTTAAATTTGTTAGTTTTCGCAACATGTCGTTGATAAAAATGTATTTATGTACATAAACGCCAATGACAAAGTATACAATCAAGCAGGTTAACCTAACACTATCAACCTATGCATGTTAATTTCCTTACTGTTCGCGTTTTCAATTGTTAAAGTGTATGAAACAAGATACAGTGTCCATTCCAAGCTTTGTTGATCTATCGCTTTCATCGTAGTTACACTTTAATTCTTAATTTATACCAAAACATATCAGTGTAAATTGTTTACAAATGGCTTCAAATCAATGCCCTATCCGTATTTCTAAGGCCAAGGACGCATTGAAGTTATTTATTTCAGTCCCTTACATTGTGAATATCATTAACAAAAAATACAAAATATCAGTTAACACTTTTAAAGCTCAGTAATTCCTGAGTTATTTACATTTATTATAAGTTATATAATCAAGTGTTACTATGTCCACTAGCGGAAACTACATATATATATAAAAGAATTGGAATATAAAAATATATATAAAATAAATGTGCATATATTTAAACAAAAAGTATAATCAAATATAATGCCTTGTATTGTATGAAAATCACGCTTTGTTTATATTTCAAGAGAGTTCACTTGGGTAAGGTGGGCGCTAAGGAATGCGCACATTTAAATATTTACATCTTAATGCTTTTTTTATAAGCGCATGTTACTTATGTTTTGTGTAGAGTATATTTAACATATAATTTGGATATGTAGCTAAAAGCTACAAGGGGTTCTACAATATCTTAAGTGGTGCTCGTATAAATTCCGGGTTATTCTAGTTTGGTTTCCTGCCATTTAAATGCAAATATTCTAATTCGAATGTTAGAAAAAGAATTAAGTTGCACTTTTAATAAAAACATAAAAAATAACAAAACAGTAAACTATCAATCTTAGAAATAACTAAATTAATGAGAGCATATCATTGACAGCATCCGACGTAGCGCGCTGATGATCAGCATCAGGGAAACTCACATTATCGAATTCCTCTTTAGCTTGTTGCTTTTCAATGAGATCCACATTATTAACAGAATTTATAATGCCCTCATTACTCAATGGGCTAACGCTCATATTATCGATTGTATTTGCTAACGTTGGCACCCTACGTTTGGCGGTCTCTAAGAACGTTGTAATGGAGGGTTGATAACTTGTACTAATCATACTGCCATAACCTTCGTATTTGTACCAGTTGGTCGGAACTTTTCCAGTAACACAGAGATCTCTTCCAACAGGTACAGTGCTGATTACCTTTGTTGGTTTAAGGAAACGTACAAATCGTTCTAGCTCTTTATAGCTCGAATGTTCAGAATATTCCACTCCAATAACGCTGATACGCTTGCCATAAGAAGGCTTGGAGTTCTTTTCCCAACCGCTAGGTCGTATACCAAGTAGCATATCATAGTGGCCTTCAAATTTTTTAAAGTACTGATCTAGGTTCTGTGGAAAGAAGGAATCATTAGATGTGGTGGAGTATTATAGAAAAGGAAATACTTACCGGATAGCTTATCTTTCCCATATTGATGACATGCAAATTAGCTTTAAAGGGATCATCACAAAGGCTTAGCTGCAGCTCTGACCAGTCGAGGCATTCAATTGCTTTGCGGCGATGCGGTTCGGTCCAGACACGCAAGCTAAACTCCTCGACCAAGGTCAGCCACACCTTCTCTTTTCCGATTAAATATGAGCCACAGACGTGCAATATACGCTTGCCGGCGTTCTTCTCGTGAAATTGTCTCACTGCAGAACAGACGCTATATATACTGTCAGATTGATGGCAAAAGTCATAGTTCTTCGATAAATATGTCGTGTCCAGGTAAAGAACATCAATCCGCGGCTCGTTCCAGAAAATAGGCAGCGACTCCATTTCAAAGCTAGCACGAAAGTCTCCAGTATGGAGAATACACTTGCCAGTAGTAAATTTAAAGATCAGCATAATGGCACCCGGACAGCTATAATTTATTAAGAACGGACAAACAATTAATCAATGGGATTAGCCTCGATGAGCACTACTTACTGATTGGCATCTATTGCAGTGATTTCAATCTCATTGAGCGTTATGGACTCTCCAACATCGATTTCGTGCATATACTGATTGTGGATGGGTATAAATGTGCGCACGAGCCTCGCTGTTATTGGACTCATATACAGAGGATGGGCAAACTTTCGGGTTAGCCCCACATAGTGATCGGCATGATAGTGACTGAGAAAGTAGTGAGTCGCCTTCGGTATATCGCCAAATTGGAAGCCATCGACTACGAATGTCGTATCTTCCACAATCTTATAGGAAGGGCAACGCTTACGGCTTCGTTCTTTGGGCAAGTTTTTTGTTAAACATGCGCCAGTACCATTACTTTCTTGGACCGCTAAGCATGGTATATTAACCATGGGTAATGAATTCAGCTGACAATCCTTCAGCACCTCAAGTGGCACAGGCCTAGCGCTAATACCATTTTTGTTAGATTCGGACTCATTATCGGAACACAGATCAATTATTGCACTCGGGGAATTTGAGCATTTTGCCTTGGCTTTGCGTTGTGGCAGTGTCCGCTTCCTTGTAGGCTTCCGTTTATTTTCGATTTCCACCGTTATCTTTGTTGTGGACTCCTCATCGAATAGACGCTTGCATCCCTTACGTGCTTTTCTATTTACTGGGGAAGTATTTGATAACTCAACTTTGTAGCTTTTCGTGCAGCTCTTGAAAAAGGAATCAATGCGCATTTGACCTGGTAAAGGTTCCTTTTTCCCAGTTCGTTTAATCGTAGTGCTAGTAGCAATAACTTTTTTAGTTTCTTCATTTGTCTTCTTCTTTGTTGTAGATGATGCACATTTTCTTCTCGCCCTTCTTGTCTTTTCCGGTGTCTTGTTTTCATCTGCACTGGGTATTGAAATTATTGCAAGATCATCTGCTTCATTATTTTTTATTTGAACCTGCAATTCAGATAAATTTCTAAGGCGGATCCGTCCAACACTTTGTGACATGCTTATATTTGTTATGCTACTTGTTGTGTGTTTTGTACAAAATTCGATAATGTAACGATAGCTGCTTTGCGGAAATCCGCAAAAATTCCTTAACTATTGAAATATCGATAGTGCAATCGAATATTTTACACTTATCCCACTTCATTCAAACTATTAATAATATAAAATTGTATATATTCATATATATTATTTTTAACATTTTTGTATTTTCAACACATATGAGAAACTATAAATCCATTCCTGCAATTGCATCTAATATTTTTTCATCGTCGACTTCGTCAATGATATTATCCATAATACGATCTAATACAACGGCATCATACAATGAGCAACCTAAAAAACCATAGTTTTTCGAATACTCATCAAGAACGTCAGGCTGCTGATGTATATTCTTAAGAATTGGGGCAGACATTTTCAAAAGTCTGTGCCTTATATATATCGAAGCCTTATTTAGATCATTGTCAAAGTCGTCCTTGATTAAATGCGGCTCAACTACTTCGGATATAGATCGAATTTCTGGTATGACACAGTCGCGTATTGCATACCTGCCCATTTTGCTTAATCCAATGAGACAACCATAAATCGTTGTTAATGTCGAGTTTTTCAACCCATTCCTATATACACTAGAAAATGAATTTAGAATATTAGTATGTAGAATTCTTATAGCACTTACAGTCACATACTTTATGACCCTTGGCATTATACTATTGTCGTCACTGTCGTAAGCTTTAACAAACTCGGCCATAATGTTGGCCGAATATTCGCGCAACGCCCAATGATTCTGAACTGCCGGAAAGGCACAAACCTGCCGAGCCACAATGCAGGAGAGTACAGCTGGTATGAAAATGTGTAGCTGGAACGAAAATGATTAATTGTGACTGACACTTCCAAGAAAGGTAAGTAACTCACGTAGTTGTGAAGCTTTAAATGGGGATTGATCAGTAGACTGTGCACCATACGCATCAAATATAGTAGCAGAGCAAAATTCTGTTGCACCACATTCACCTTGACTGCCTCACCGATGAACAAACTCAGTTTGGAGAGCATTGGCTGCAATGATGAATCGGAGCTTAGACGTTGTAGCGCCTCTCGGCGCGTCGACTCGGAGATGCCCATGCACGTCTCTGTGATTAGGACATAGAACTCTTGTTGCTCCTTAGATAATGGAAATTTTTTATTTGCCATTAGTAGCACCTGCTCGCGTTTCAGCCACTGATTGCGAGTGCCTGTTGGTGTGTCACGGACTTTCGCATCTGGCGACATTGACCGCGCCCTTTTCCTTCTTAAAAATATTTCAGACGGCATACTAAAGGGTCGTTTTATAATTCGTGACTTTGTGACGGGCTTATCTATGTCTTTGGGTTCTGGCCAGGTGTAATTTATATGTAGAAGGTCCAAATTAATATTGTGCTCCTCCAGAGCAAACAACAAGTGATCCATTTTCACTTTTGAAGACCGCGTTCGTCGAGCATACTTCACTGCCTCAGCAACTACTTTGCTTATGTCTTTGCGCACATTTTTTGCTACAGTGTGAATCAGTTTTCCAGTTAATGTTTCGCCAATGGAATGCTTGGCTATATTCTGCAAAGACGTCCTGGAAAGCGTTGCCGTGTAAATACGTTTCCAGTCGTCGCTGATCGAATCCAGAAAATATTCGTGATAGTGCATTTTGAAACTTGTAAGCTAGAAAGTTCTAGCAGGGTGAAATAAATTTAGTAAGGTTAGTTCTCGGGAATATATGCGGCATACGTCAAAACAGCTTTGACAGCTCCCAAACAAATTCGAGTTGGAAATAAATGAATGAAACTGATTTCATATGAGAACTGTAGATCGAATATGTTTAATCGAATTATGTGGACTTCAATTTACGAAAATCGTTCAATTTATTGTATTTATATCAAATATATATATATGGGCAACTAAAATTTAATTTAGCTTAAAATGGAGAATCACTCGAACTTGAGGGTATGCCGTTATTATTAGTTTAAAATAAAGCTAATGATAATATATCAAAATTCGGTAGAGCACGTAACCAAGCAGCACCAAAACTACCAACGCCTTCCATATATAATGCAGTCAAGATCGTAAATCCGTTAACGGCACATACATCACGCCCATCAGACGTGTCATTTGTATCTTGCCATTGGCATCCTTGTCATACTGCGTATTGAATAAATATAAATTATTCACAGAATATTCATTTATGTATTGGAGTACGCACCTGTTGCATGTACTGCGTTCCACCTTCCGGGCCAACAGGAACTATTAGACGACCTCCGTTTGCCAATTGATTTATTAACTCCGTAGGTGTGTCTGGCGCCGCTGCGCCCACATGTATGGCGTCGTATGGTGCAAGTGGGGGATGTCCTTTACGTCCATCTCCCTCAACAATAAGCATAGTACCCGATTCCAGCATATTGCGATCATCTGCGTTCAGATTAGTTTTGCTCATTTCCACCAAACTGGACTGATGCTCAATTCCGACAATTCGAGTGTCAGAATTTTCGCCCTTTGCCTTAATGTAACGATAGAAGCAGGCAGTTAGGTACCCGGATCCGGAGCCCACATCTAAGACATGTGCGCCGGGCTTGAGTTGATCCCGCAAATATTCCAAAGCAAACGCGTGCTAAGTCAAAAAATCACAAGAGTTGAGAGTTCCCATCAAATATTTTTGATCTAAATGGGAATGACAGACAAAATTACCATGTGAGGGGCACTGATAGTTACTCCGCCGCCAATTGGCTGCGGCGAGTCCATATACGGATTACGGGGAGAGTAAAATTTGCGGTCCGTGGCTAACATTGCACTTGCCACAGACTCGGTTGCAATTACGCCGTAATCTATTTCAAATATATTTATAAATATTCATGTATGTACATACAAATGTGCATTCATTAAAAACAAATATAATGGATGCACTTGTTAGTTGCTTACCACGTAGCTGACGTATAAGATCAGCATTGTTTGCACCCACGGAACGCCAGGCCATGCTAAATGTGCGGAGTAATAGGCCCAGCCCAATGATGCTAGCAATATATAATTTTTTTACCGTTTTGGTTGCTTTTTCTTCAAAGGGCCTTCCAATTGGTTAGTGTTGTTATTTTTGTTTGTAGCAGCCGAAAGCAGCTGGGTGACAGTGTTACCAGCCTATCGCATTGTTTAATTTTTTTTTAAATATACTGAGAATGTTATAACGGCGCACATTCAGATTCGAAAAATAAAGATAAAAATAATTTATTACATGTGAAAGTCCAAAGGTTTAAGCCCGAAATGAATTCTTATCGAAAAAACCCATTTAGATATCGATATCATTCATGCGATATTCGGAAGCCACATCCCTAGAGAGAACTGAAACAACTCTGGCAACGGATTGTTAAACGAGCGAAAACGACCAGCAGTAGCAATTCGCGGCGCAATTTTGCTGAAAAGTAAAACGAAGTTAGTTCTACGGAGAGCTTGTAATTATCATATTTAAAAAATTGTTTACATAAAATATTAATTTGTAACTGTATTCGTTGCGTAGTGTATTTTAAGTGAATTAAATAATAAAGCAGTTGGGAATTGCAGCTGCAAGCAATAGCACTGCATTTAGCAGCTGCCTCTTTTTCGTGTTATTGTATTGTTGTGTTGTGACATTCACACACACACACACACCCCTTCACTCAAACTCAGACGAACATCTTGTGGCTAGTTTGGTGCGGCGCGGCAAAAAAGATTTCGATATTGCATGTGTGTGTGATTGTATGTGTGAGTGAGTATTAGTCATTTTGGCCTGGCCTGGTCGTTGGTCTTGGGCCTGGTCTTGGCAGTTGTTGGTTAACCCGCAACATTTGGAGCGTACCAGCAGCAATCAACAGAAACATAAAAGCAAACACAACTAAAAACCAAAAACTCGTCACGCCAAAATCAGCAAAAGGTTAGTTACCCGCGTTATCATATTTAATTGCCAATTCATTTGGGTTCTAAAGCGTCTGCAAAATTAGTAATTGTAATTATTCTGTTTATTGCTTCAATATATTTCTCACTTATTTAGCACCCTTTTTACTTGATATCAAGGTCGCTGTGGTTGAATGAATGAGTTTATTTCAATACTTATTTATTTCATTGTAATCTGATGTGTATGTAATATGAGTTTTATGTACATTTATGTGCCTATATTTTTATATGTATATTTCTTATAACAATAGTACATTGCATAATTTTCTGTATCGTCTATTTGTATTGTAGCTTTGTTAAAATAATTGATAAAATATTTGAGATACGCGTGTGTGGCGCAATTTGTTGTTCAATAGCGTTTTCGAATAGTGCCTTCAACTCTCCGTTTTTTCCCCTAGTATAAATTTCAGTTTCATTCTGTCACTTTCGGAAGCAGCAGGTGTTGCATTCGTCTGTCCATCTGTTCGTTCGGCTTCTGTGCTCACTTTCCAATTCACTGAGTTTGCTTAAGCAGCGTCAGTTGCTTGTCGTGTTGAGGCCATTCTGACTCGGAGTAGCTGCGAGGCTCGTTTAGTAGCTGGCATTATTGATAAGTGCTATAAAGCGAGAATGTTTGTGTGTAATTATTAAGCAATGCATCTTATGTTGCCTCTATGTAGTGATAGCGTCTGTATGTAAAAAACAGGAAGTGACAAATGTATGTACATATCACCAACATTTTCTGTGCGCAGAACGCGTCTACTGGATGGAGAACAGTTCGTTTCTTTTAAAAATTCACACACCCTTTTTTATATCGATATCAACAATGTAGAACAATATCTCTAAACGATTAATTCCAGCAGACTAGAATTCCCATGCTTCGAATACAATACAAAGCTCCAGTGCGAAGGGATATTTTTCCTTGCGTATGGCACATTTCTACATACTTGCAGTTAACAGCCTGTAATGTGCTTCCAGCCTCACCTCTGTCACTCCATACAAATGTATGCATATGCTAATACATGTGTATGTGCATATATACACATACATAAGTATGTACGTAAGTAAATAATTACATCTGCGTGTTTTTAGTGTTTTGTGCTAAACTTTGACCTAATTTGCGACAATATGAGCCATGCAACGCATGATTGCGAGCGCACTATTCAGCTGTATGGTGAATGCTCGCTCATCTCTCTCTCTCTGGCTTTCGCTCTCTCTATGTATGTATATACGTGCATACAAAAGTATTTATATTTATGACAACTGAACGTGCAATTTAAGCATACATTGTTTGCCATTTATCTCTTACATTCTAAACTTCATAAAGGTAATTTTCCTTTTCACAAACGAATTGCTAAAGAGAAAACAATAAATGAACGTGGAAGCACTAATTTATATATAACATAACGAAGCTTAAATACACTCACGCAAGTTTTAAATAAATTTTTAAAGTTTAAGTTCTTCTTTTATTATAGAAAACTTACAATTTTATTTACTTTTTATGGAAAGCACATAAAATAATTCAACATTCATATATTGGAATATTGTTATGAAACTTATAAACTTGAACTTAAAACTATATTACTGTATTCGGCATTTTAATATAAATGAGAAATGCTTTCTACAAAGCGCTACAAATCCATTGACTATATTTATAATATTCATAAGAAAGGGTATTGAAACGTATCAAAACCTGTTACTTCGATGTTTTATGTTTTGTGTGTTTTGCCTTCAGCTTTTTCTGATGTTGGTCATCCCATCGATTATTTTATTTGCTTCGCACGCCTTCGCATTAAGATCGTATATATGGCGTTGTATTGGTAGTTGTCTTAGGTTCGTGTTAAACTTCCTTCAACAACAACATGGGCAACAGAGCAGAGATAGAGATTTGAAAAGTGTTCAATAGCCTGACATTTGAACACGTTTTTAAATTTCAACTGTTTTTGGGCTAAGCGTGCGCGTATGTGTGTGTGTGCGTGTTGTACAAATATTGAAACATTTGCGCAAACTGCAAAATTTGCGTAAATTTGTTTTCAGACGCATTTCAAGTTGGGCACATACGAGTTAATTTTGATATATGACAATACAGTCGTACACTAAATATTGATTTAGCTGTGGGAATCATCAACAACAATTATGCATTGAATGAGATTTTTTTGTCTTTCCGTTATAACAATTAACAGACCTTAACATCAAACGAAAACAAAGCATGTACACTGTCCGACCTAAGTGCTGAAAGATTTTTTATCGCTGGAAAACCATCCATGTTTTTAGAAAAAAAAAAAAACAACTAAGAAGCATCAACATCAAATCTCCAGCTCAACTGGAAAAAGCGTCTCATTATCATAATTAAGAGACCTTAACCTCAACACATAGACAAAGCAGTCACACTGTCCAACCCAACTGCGGAAAGCTCTGCTCCGTCTCGAGTCAAAGTTCTCTTTGTAATTTACTTAAGTGGACAGAGCAGAAGACGTGCGTTTATTGCTCTGTCGCGAAGCACGTTCCTCGAACTTAATTTTGTCAATTTCTTTCTTTTTTGTTATTCATTTATATTAAATTGTTTATTTATGCCAATATGCCCAATTTGCGTGGTTTGGCGCGTTCGATGGCTCTTTGAATTGTGTTTAATTAACGTATATTTGGAAATATTTTATGTATTAGAGTTAGCTAGCATAGATTGTAGTTAAGAACCAGTTTTAAATTTTTTTATAAGTGGAATTGATCAGTAAAGTTGTAGGGGATAAATGGGTGAAATCAGTTTTAAAAACTAGTTTTTGACTTCCTGTTGTATGCTGGCATTTACATACTCTATTTAAATTTGTACAAACGTTAGTTTACTACTAAATTCAATTGTCTGCTTCAATACTAACTTTAAATGATTTTAATCATCGTCATCAATTACAAATCATTTTTGTTGTTGCTCAACAAATGAAAATAAGAGCTCAAGGTCGTAATCATTTCGTATACTTTTATTGGTTTCCTATTTTTTGTGGTTGTGTTTGTGTTTTAGCCTTTGCCAATTGACCAAATGCCGAACTATGTATATAAACAACAATTGCAGCCAAGTGCCAAATGCTAATACAAAAACAACAACAATCAAATAGAGCATAAAAATTGATCTTTCTTTCACTTGCTGCTGAAAGCAAATCGCATTTACAATCATTTATTATTTTCTCAAGAGTCTATTTGTGATAATGTGCCTGAACTCTATCGTGAGCATGTTAAATCGCACTTGCTTTGCTATCGCTGTTTACAACTCACACAACCGTTAGGCACTCTCTGAGTCTATGTGTGTGTGGGTAAAAATCTGGTATCTAGCTAGAAAAATACTTTCTTTTGTTCAAATGAATTCTGCGTTTCTCATTGAAAGCGCGTTGTCAACCTCTTCATGCGTGGTTTGAGTAAAAGTTGTATCCGACACTTGATGGATGTAATGCGTACACATATATACATACATCATATACATTCATATATATAGCATCATTTTGTGGACTGCGTTTTCGCCCACGCAAGCTTAAGTGAATCATCGGCCCTTAAAGTAAATGTTTCGGCGCCCCTTGCAAAAGCTAATATAGAATATATTTTTTATATATATATTTGTTAGTAGAGCGACATTGACATATAGCTGAATTTATAAATAATTTATACATATAGTAAATTGTAAATGGCTTTTTGACATGATTAAGTTTAAAGACAAATTAAATATATCTTTAATAGATATTTCCTTGGCTTTTTTGTCTGACACCCAAAATAATGGTTATCACAATAGATTCACAGTTTATTAACTATAAAAAAAGTAGTTTTCGTCTGCGGGGTTAATTCAGCTGACTTGCCAAATAACACGTCTGTAGATGGACACATTTAATTGTTATGCCTTTTGACGTGTGGCGGTCATTTCTATGTAATTTCACTTGTTTTGTTTTTTTTGTTTATTACTTCCCAAAAGTAAAAGCTATCATGCAGAACTATTCACAAAAAACATCAGACAGAGACGCTCTGTCTGAACCGGTTGTAGCCGGCAGCAATTTAATGTGCAACAATCGTGCAAAAAACAAACCAGAGTCTCGACCACCCTCCTACAATACATATATCTATATATAAATATATATGCATGTAGGTCTGTATGCATGCTAGTAGCATTGTACATAACACGCCCAGACGTGACCTTAGAAATGCATTAAGCTTTACAATACTTGACATAGGTATAGGTATAGTTAAACATATCCATATACATATTCACATACATGTACACTTACATATACACATATATATGCATATAAATATATACACTGTTCATTTACGTACTGCTCTGAACTGGGACAAAGTAAATTTGTTGTCCTTCGTTTGACTATTGCTAACTAAACGTAGAGAATTGAGCTAAAAATCTTTTTAAGCTCTCACAGAAAGAAAATTTATTCAAGCTAACTAATTTTTGAATTTTATAACAATAGATTTAAAGCAAGCAGACTCAATGTATATTTGTCATGCAAGTTTGGCGGAGAAATACAAGTTTTTGATAGCTCCCCAGCGCAAGCCTTAGCCTTTTTAATAGAATGGCATCATTACAAGAGCTAGACGAGAGCCTAAATTTGGTTATATAAGCTAGTCAACAATTAACGATTATTTAATATACTGCAATTTATAGTCAGCTAAAGGCTGGTTTGAGACTTTTAACTTATTTTGGGTTGTGTTAAAAATAAATCGAAATTGATTATATATTGTATTTCTCTTTTCGTTTTACTGCTTTTACACATTGTGTGTTAATTATAGATGAATAATGCGCTGAGTTAAGAACTAGTTCGCAAATGCTACTATTTTTTCAGCACTTTAGTGAAGGCAACAAATTAAGCAATTGACGTCGGCGATTTCATTCGACTGTAATGAAAACAAAGTCGTAGGAACGTAACGAAAACATTGATTAAATTAGCGAACCAGACCCGAAATCCGTATGCACCTGTAATGGGTGCAGTTTACGGGACTTGCAAAAACATACGCCCCCATATACACCCATTTTTACTACCCTTCAAAGGTGATTTTAATTAGATTGGTTCTGTCAGTTCGAACTGTGCCCGCTGCTTGTGCGATTTCTGCCACATTTCAGCTAAAAACAATATTGACCATTTCTGTTTATATATGGTCTATGCAGTCAACTTGTAAATTATATAATGTATTAACATCCATTTGCAATAAGCAAAAGTCGAATAGGAATATCTAAAAGAAAAACTGCGCGGTGTCTCATAGTCAGTATAAACTTCCATTTCTTTAATACTTGGAGATATTTATTTTCTCGTTCCATTGTTAATTTCCATGACATTTTGCAAATCTTTCTAAGATCTGAAAGCTTGTAGAAATTCATTTTGCTATAAGATTAAAACTATTGAATTTTGAATTTATATTTACATATTTTATTTGCGATTCCGACGTATTTTCAATGTAGATAAAAGCGCATGTGACACATTTTGGCTCAACTTGTGTCTTTTGTTCTTTGAACATGATAAACAAGCAGCAACAAAGACATTGGAACAGTTATAACAGGAACAACAGCACTATGAAGCATGTTGGCTTATACGTGGTTAACTTTATTGCCACATATATTTCATTCACAGTTCCTCTGCAAATGTATGTGGCCATATTGCCACTTGGAAATGGATTGGGGTTCCTCGAGTCAGCAGCATTGTTTGCATTCAACAATATGCTATATGCTGCAGCATATGTCAAGTGTGCTCTTGGCGGCAGGTTCAAAATGCAGAGTGGCACGAGACAAAAGTATGTATGGCACACATAGCACATTCTGGGACAGAGCACGGGATTGAATGCCTACGTACATATGTACACAGATAAATAGACATATGTATACATATATGTACATATCTAATCAATAGAGAATTACGTATTGCTGTAGTCGCGACAGGGCGGACACGATGATTGTTTGTCAGTAATTCGTTGGGGAATTCGCTGCTGTTGATGACGCAGTTGATCCCAGCTGGAGGTCAATAGTCAATGGAATGGAATGGAATGGATGCCAACTATATACCTTTGCAAGCACACATAATATATGTGTATACGTATATGTATTTCTAATGAATTAATTTTATATGGCTGCGTAAAATGCAAAATATATGTATATAAATATATATATTTGATAAGAGCTTCTGAGTGTTTGTGCCGCCTCTTATCGTAGCGCTTAAATATGAATTATTATATGTCATTGTTATTGTGTTTTTTTTAGTACATGTATTTAAACATTTTTTACTAGCACGACAAGCCGTTCCGGGAGGTGCCGGTCACCGAAATGCGCTCCGAGCATTGCCAAGCCATGGAGCAATACGAGAAATACACTCCAAGTGGATGCCACCCACTTTTTTTTAAATATATTTCATATCTATATTTTGTTGTTTTTGTGTCTCTGTATTTTGCCATTGTTTTTGCGATTCAACGGAAATTCTTTAACGAGCATCTGCGAGGGAATCGGAATCTTCGCTTTAGTTCCCAATTCTATGACGTAAATCTCTCGGAAGCATTGTATTTTTTTATATATCATTTTTTTAATTTCGTTTTTGTTTTTCGCTCTGGACTGTCGATTGATGGATTTGTTTTTGTTTAAATTTCTCAATTATTGCTTTTCTTTGTTTGAATTGGGTTTTGCGCTCTTAAATTTGATGGATCGTACGGCAATTAAAGGTTTTTATTAGAAATTAATTGTGTACTGCGTTCAGCTTGCAACTAAATATATATATATATATATATATATATATATATATACTTAAACACAAATATAATATATATAATATTGTTCATATACTTACTGAATTTAACTAAATAGTTAATAGATTTTTAATGCAATTATAAATTATAGCCATTCAACTGGCTGACTAAAAGCAGAAACTTTAGAAACGAGCTATCGAATCACAGATTCGATCTGGCTGACTGTTGCCATTTGCTTGATATAACATTTTGATATATTAAATAAGTAATAAATTGACATATGAAAAATTCATAAGGCATTTTCACAAAAGCGATTCTCCATGGGTATATGGGTACAAATGTGGTTTAGCAAGTATACAAACAAACATAATTGTGAGTCGAGACGTAACTAAAGCTAAGTTGAACGTGTCACAGCAATGGCAAGAGCGTACATCTGAGATAGCTCCAGCTCCAGAGTCCAGCCAGCTCGGTTAACTCGCTTATCGGCCACGATAAGCGATAAGCGATATTTACTTAGCTTTACACGCTTGAATCAGCTTCCAGATCATTTCACTCATTCTCGTTCTCTCTCGTTGTGTTGCTTTTGTAGGCAGCATGACCATACCATCAAGACCAGCGCCCGCACCGCCGATGTCACGTGGTCAAAATGCAGCAGCCGGTGCGAATGCGAGTCTGGAGCAGCTGCGTCTGCAGCTGCAGCAGCAGCATCTGCAGCAACAACAGGCATCCAATGGGGGACTGCAGAAGCTGAACATTAAACTGCCGCCGCCACCGAAGGGTCAAGTGCAGCAAAATAACTTCCACAAGAAGCCGGCTGGCAGTAACAACAACTACTTTGATGTAGAGGGCAGCGGGTCTAGCATAACGCGCAAGTTTCCTCAAGCCCGTTATACGCCGACTACCAATTGGAATGATGCGCCCTTCGATGGCGTTTCCTCGACGGTCAATGGCAACACAAAGAAAATGCCGCCACCACGACCACCACCGCCCAAAGTTCAGATAAATGGCCAAAAACTGGCTAGCTTAAGAACAGGGAACCTTGGCGGTGGTGGTGGTGGTGGTAGTGGCAGTAGCCATAGCCATAGCATCATAAGCAACATTTTCCATCGCAAAAAGTCGACGGCCACGGCAACGGCTGCTGCTTCTAAGGTCGCAGCGCAAAGTCGCGTCTACGGCCTGAGCAGCGGTCATTCCGTGTCTTCAACAACAACTGCAGCAACTGCATCGGCGACCGCTACTGCGTCCAGCAACTTCACTAATAACTCAAACACGTACGATTGGAATGCAGCCTGGAATACGGAGAGTACAACAACTACTACGATGAAAAGCTCGACTAGCAGTCATCGTGAGACGACGGAGGCGCAGCTGATCAGCTTTGATTCGCCGCCTTCATCGCCCACTTTTACACAGAAGTCAAACAGCGACTGCGTCAGCGTCGACAGCTTCAGTTCGGATAGCAATTTCAGTTCACCCAACAATGGCAGTGTCTCGCAGCCGGAGAGCGGTTTCGAAGATGACTATCACTCGCGGTCACGGCCCGCCACACAAAGTCCTTTGGTGGATCCATGGGAGGCGGTGGACAGCAGCATCTACAGCGGCGGTGTCGATAGTTTCGGTACAGCACCCGTGCGTCAAATGCACCCACAGCTTTCAGCACGGACCTCGGACAATCCACTGTGCAACGGCAAGAGTCTTGTTCCTCCCGCACAGTCGCTGACCATGCCCACCATCATTAAGCCGAAGATATCGCAGAAGCCCAAGGCACCCAAGCCGCCACCATTCATTGGCCAGCCACCAGCGTTTGCCTATGGCGGCTATAGCACACCGCCGTCGCCACCCATGCCAAAGGGCGCCCCACCGACTCTTCCGGCGGCCGGTACCTCTTCTGCTTCTGGCAACATCTCACTGCTGGATGTTATATCAGGCAAAGTGGATGCTCTGGCCTTGAGCAATGGTAGCTCTGGCTACGTGGATGAGCTCGAGGTGCCATATGCAATTGCGCTCTATGATTTCGATGGCGTTGAGGAGGGCGATCTTAGTTTCAGAGTAACTATTTGCGTGTACTCTAGTTGCACTTCAGTCTTAATATCTATTCTTGCTTACAGGAAAATGAGAAGATCTATCTGGTGGACCAGCCCACAGAGGAATGGTTTCGCGGACGTTCACGTACCGGCTGTGAGGGCCTATTTCCTGTGAATTATGTGGAAATTAAGGTGCCATTGGGCGGTAATGCTGCAGCACGTGCAACTCACGCTCACTCCCAACCACAAGAGCAGCCACAGCACCAGCAACAGCAGCAGCTGTCCACTGCGCGTTGTCTGTACAATTTTCCTGGCGAGGTTGAGGGAGATCTCACTTTAAGAGTAAGTTAAGACAAACTAATTTGTAGTTGAAAATGAAGTCAACTCTTGATTTAGTTTAAAACAACAATTATTAAAATACTTTTTTCAACTTACAGGAAAATGAGGTGGTAAACATTCTTTATCGTATTAACGAGGATTGGCTTTATGGGGAGGTGAATGGACGGCAGGGCCAATTTCCGGCTAATTTCCTAGAATATGTCCCCGATAATATACCCACGCTGTGAAAACCTATTTGCAAAAATATCAATAAGAAGCAGGAAATAGAAACTATATTTAAATTATACATAGAATATATATCGATAAGGAAGAAACAGCAAATATCGTTGGAACTGAAACATATTGTATTTCCTTTTGGTAAACCGCAACAAATATGCGCCCGACACACAAACACAGAGACACACCTTCACAAAGCTATACAATTAATTATATATATGATATATGTGCGTTAAGTCTCGACCTTAGGAATTATTTTACAAAAGAAGAGTTTACGGCGTGAAATCAAAATTGATCCCAATCAAGATCCAAAAATAGTTTTTCCTTTTTGGTTATTTATGTAATTAACATGTTGATAACTAATTCAAAGTATTCGAGAATGATTGGTGCATTGTAAATGATATCGCGTGATGATCTATTGATCCCTTTTATTAATGTAAAAAGTAACAAACTAAATTTCAACTATACATATATATATATATACAAACATATTGTTTTCGTCGTTTAATTTAGTTAGTTATTTAGTTAGGCACACTTATCATTTCCAATTAATGCAAATCTTCAATTTTATATATATATACATGATAATAAACTCGTATGTGTGCTATTTGAATGAATTATGAGATAAGCTATAGGGACTAGCTAGAAATCAGGCAACTAAACACATAAATGTCAAGATACAATGAACTGAAATAAACGAAAATTGTGAAAATACAAACAAGCAAATATATATGGTAGTGAAGTGCTGCTGACTGGGTTAAACAGTCGCAGGCAGAGGCATTAGAGAGACATGCCTAAGACCGACCATACGTGGCTTCTATGCCACATCCTGCCCGAGGTGCTACTGCTTTCGACTAAATATGGCGGATCTAGAGAGGACAACTCGATAAAACCCGCAAGCCCTGGTGTTAGTCGTAACCGTGCCAACGGGCTGGATGGCAGCTGCGTGAATGCTGTCTTCGAACGGTGACCTCCGGATAACTGGCGCCCTCCGGTTGTAATTAAATGCCTTGTCGTGATATCGGGGGCTATGTCACGGTCGACCTGCCCGACCCCCACACTCGTGGGAATCAAAATAATGAACTCAAATAAAGAACAACAACAATTAAACAATCCAACGTACAATCGAACAAACCAAACACAAAGCAAAAACCTGCATGGAGCTCGCTTAAGCGGCGCTGCCCGCAAGCGATTCCATTATCTGCTCAAAAAGGGCATGAAGCCGGAGGAGGCCAAGGAACAAGCAATGAAGCCAATTCGCCAGTCTACGCTGCGGAGCCAGAAGCTCATGGCAACAGCACAAAATGCAAGAGGAATTAATCCGTCGAATAGGATTAACAGCTTCTCAGGCTACGGACAATGTGGCTGGGCAGAACCTGCACGAAATCTTCAGACTAAGGCCCAACAGCAACGTGTTAGCGGAAGTCCGACACAGCGACTGCTAGGTGGGGAACGAGGCTGCCACCAAACTGATAGCAGGAACTCAGGCTATGCTCAATTTGGCTGGACTGAATCTTCACAAAATCATCGTGATAAGATACCTTGCACAGCCACGCGGTCTGTGTCTGCTGCAACACAATCCAGCCGACCACCTGTGCAAGCTAGACTCGGCGCTCCCGTAAATCGCGCACGATGCGGCATTGCGCCCAAAGGTATGCCGCCTGCCCATGGCAGCAGCGGACTATTAGAAACGGAGGAAGAGGCTGACGTTGTGGGCAAACCAAACGACAAGCCAAATCTCAACGTGGCCATACTACCTGGTGACTATCCGACTGAATTGTGGACAACACCACAGTTGGAGGCGGTGAAGCGAAGTATTTCTGATCTCATGCAGCGCCATTGCGAGGGCTACGTAAAGCCCAGTTTTTCGGGCTGCACATTCCGGCACGGCTGGCTATCCGTAAATGGCAACGATGTAGCCAGTGTAAACTGGCTGATGGCCATGGATACCAGGCTACGGCCCTGGGAGGGTGCATCCTTGAAGGTGGTGCCAGAATCTGAGGTGCCACTCAATCGTGTATTCGTTGGCATCTTTCCGGCCCTGTATAGCACGCCAGTCAAGCACGCGTTACGCCTAATCGATGCCCAAAACGAGGGCCTTGCCGTGCACGATTGGCTCGTGCTGCACCGCGTACAGAAGGGACACACCATGAAACTGGCCCTATCCATCGATGCCCACTCAGCCGATGTGCTGAGGAACAAGCACTATCAATTGAACTTTGGCTTCAGTCGTGTCCGCTTTCGACCAAGAAAGAAAACGGCCAAATAAACTCATCATTTAATCATTGAATTTTCTTGCATTTTACTATGGGAAGCAACTTTTTGCCCAGCTCATTTCATAATAATCCCGTGAAACACGTTTCCAAGCCCTAGCATGTGGAAACATTCGGTTGAATCTGAGTTATCTTGACAGCGTCTGTTCACAGAAGCAGTTAGACGGCTTGGTTCCGTTCGCTTACAATTCGCAACAAGTTTAAGCTCTTGCGACAGCAATAAGCTTGCCCGAAACACTCGTACGAATTGTTGCATTACGTATTCAACACATCAGTTTACCCAGAATTGAGTTTGAACGTGAATAATTTACATATCATAGTGTTAGGTAGGCTGTGTTCTGGATCCCTTGCGGTGAAGGATTTGTTAAACCTGCTTCGGCATTATAAACTGTAAAACCTTCGTCGTTGAATGTCAAAACAAAATTTATTTCGTTTTTCGGATGTGTTAATAATACAGTGATTCTTCTGTAGCAAACAAAATTATTTGCTTTAACAATTGTCAATTCCAGCTAATATATATATATAAATATATATATATATACATATATATGTATATATATTTATATATATATATATTAAATAATTTGTATATTTGTAAGTAGCGTGAATCGAACGCATAGCAGATTCTTAGATAATTACAAGCCGGTGATTGCAAGCCCGAGCCCCGCACAGGTAAGCTAAATATTTTAAGCTACGGCTTCTACTTCTCGCGAATTTAGAGTAGTCTTAGGGAAGACCGGAACCACAATCGAACTGACGGTTAACTATGGGTGATGCGTGCCAGCCGCCCGTTGACTATCCACCATGCCCGCCGGGAGCTACTTGCCCGCCATGTGATTGTGGGGATTATGCTGGCTGCTGCTATCAGCAGCCAGCGCGCACTCTTCCCATAATCCCGCAGTCGCACTTCATGCGCTCGACTGCTCCGCTGGACACAGATACCATCTATCGCCGCTCGTACTATGGCAACTGTGGCGATAATTTGCGCGCTGTTCCGGTGCGTCCCTGCAACCACATAAGCGCCAACACGGCGCCTATGGAGAAGTGTACCGTACAGAAGCTATCGTATATGCCGCCGTGCCCGGCATCGCGCACGATGCCCATTCTTCCAATGGCGAGCGGATTGCGCTTTGAAGGGCCCATCTATGCGATGACATCACAGAAACATGACTATGTGCCCAAGGGCATTGTGAAGCGAGAGCCGTGCTTGCCACGTGTCGCCATCTGCACATCCACGGCTCCAATGGAGCGCTGCACCATACAAAAGCTGAGCTATATGCCTGTGGATGTGTGCCAGAATCCGCCGCCCAAGTCCATGCCACAGAATTCGCACTACACCAAACCCGCCGGCCCAATGGAGCGCTGTACCATACAGAAGCTGTCGTACATGCCGGTCTGCCTGCCACCAAAGGAGCCAACACCATGGGCGGATAAGGTGCGCTGTGTGCCTCCCAACTATCAGAACATCTGCACCACTTACAATCTGAGCTATATGCCCAATTGTAATACTGCACGTACCGCACCCATGTTGCCAATGAATACTTTACGGTTCCTCGGCAACGATGCTGGTGCCGCCAGCACCGTCTACAAGCTAAGCTATAGGCCAGTGGATGCTTCTCGCAGCAAGCCCAATCCTATTTTGCCAAGGGACACGTTCCGTCGGGCCACTGGCCCGCTGGAACGATGCACAGTACAGAAGGTACGCATGGGGTATACACTGAAAATGGACTCGATTATCATTGACCATGCATTCCTTCACAGCTGTCGTATCAGCCCAATTGTACTGAGCGCACACCACCAATTCGGCCCATGGAGAACGGCCTGCGCTTTGATGGACCTCTTTATGCGATGACAACGCAGAAACACGACTTTGTGCCCAAGCCGCATGTGCGTCGTGCTCCCATAGTGCCGCTGACAGCCTTTTGCCGACCCAGTGGCGCCATGGAACGTTGCACAGTCAACAAGCTATCGTATATGCCAGTGGATGTGACATGCTTCCCACGGCCCCAGGCTGTTAAGCCACGCCAGGGCTTCTGCCGCAACGATGGCCCCGTGGAGAACTGCACCACATACAAGCTGAGCTATTTGCCCAACAGTGTACAGCCCAAGGAGCCGATGCCCTGGGCACGGTATACGTCCTACTGCCGCCCAAGTGGTCCCATCGAGAAGTGCACAATTCAAAAGCTCAGCTATGGTCCACCCGGTGCCTTTCAGCGTTGTGGTGGTAAGCGAGATCGCACTGCTATTGCTAGATAAATATCTGAATATCATATATTCTCCTGTAGGTCCATGTGGTTCTACCTGTGCCGATGCTGGCTGCTATCCGAAGGCTGGCATTTGTTGAATCGGGAATACGTTTTGCTTGCTCGTGTCGACATGTCTCGTCACCTGTCCCAATTGTTTTATGTTACATGTTGTTTCAAAATCTTCAAGTCCAACTGTTTAGCGTTTATTGACTCGCATCGACCAATGAGGACACTTCTATTAGCAGTTCTAGTACGTGTATATGAGAACGTATCACAAATCCTTATGAAACACAAACATGTCATCGACTCACCCACTACGTTTCTTGTTGCTGCACACAAATTTTCCGGCAAAATTTCAAGTGCTCCTCGCTGTTTCAATAAATTGTAATTTTATTGATTCGGTCTTGATAAAAAAAATTAAGGTCCTATAATAAAACGTCTTCACACCATTTGAATCTGTAATCGTCGTTTAGAAGCGGCTCGACGTTTCTTTTCTTGCTTGCGTCGCGCCAGCGTCGCATCCCGGAACAGCTGGACTCCTTCGCGCTGCTCTACCTCCGTCTGCAGCAGCGATAGGGCGTGCAGGTTGTAGCCCATGGTGTCGCGCAGTTGCTGGACATCGTGTTTGAGCAGCCCCAGCAGTTTGAGAAGCAGCGGCTTCATCGATTTAGCCGCTGCAATGGGCTTCATGTGCACCTTGAACAGAAACACGGTTACGCGACAGAGCAGCTCCACTTCGTCGGGTCTTTGGGTGATCAGGGCGGGCAAGCGCTCCAGCAGCTCACAGACAATGGAGAAGGGCAGCAGCAGCAACGCCTCCTCCATATCGGATGTGCGTATGCGCACCAAGGTCGTGACAAGGAAATCATTTGGGTTTTTCGCTTGCAGCGCGAGCATCAGTGGATGTAGCTCGGGCTTCTCATCTGCCTCCGTCTCGAATTGTTTCGATATTTCCAGGCATTCCATGATAGATTCAGCTGCCTGCTCGGAGCCAACAGTTTTCCGCGAGGGTAATTTTAAGCCTGGAAGCAATGGAACGCTATTGTCCTCGCCGGTGGCCAGTCGCTCGTTTTCCAGCTGCTCACGTTCCTCCTCCTGCACATCCTTGAGCACAATTGTTTCCTCCGTGCGCTCATACATTCGCAGTGTCCGATCAGAGCCGCATGTTACCAAATAGCGACCATTAGGTGACACAGAGAGGCAGTGCGCCTCGCCAATGTGGCCAGGCAGAGTCAGTATCTTCTCAAAGGAATCGCCGTCCCACTGCTTGACTTTACCATCCTTACCACAGCTGAAGAACATGTGCGTCTTGGGTATAAATTGCAGTGACATCACCGAATCGTCATGTGCAAAAATCGAGCGATGGCAATCACCGAAATTCAGACCCCAGATCTTGATGTTGCGATCGGCGGAACCAGTGGCTATTAATTGGGAATCATAGGAGATGTCCATGCAGAGCACCGGCAATTTGTGTCCGTACAGTGATAAATAAAACTTGAATGTGTCCAAAAAGAAGATCTTCACAGTGGCATCTAGGAGGCCAACGGCCAGGTACTTCATGTCCGGGCTAATGGCCACACACAGCACCGTCTCCTCCAGCTTGAGGGTATTTTTGTGCAGCAGCGAGAGCACCTTGGTTTGTGCCTCGCCCTCGCCAGCGGAATCAATTAGCTCAAAAGTCCAGATTTTCAGTGTTGTATCACTGCTACCTGTGACGCAGCCCTTCTGATCCGGAAGTAGAGCCAAGCTCCACAATTCGCTCTCATGTGCGGGTATCTGTTCCACAATGTCCGCTGCACCCACATCTACAATCAGCAGTTTTCCGCTTTTCATGCCCAGCAGCACATAACGATCGCCGGGCACAAAGCGCGAACAGAGTATGTAATCTGTGGGCATTGTTCGCAGGCATTGCATAGCATCACGATCCCAAAATTTAAAGGAATCACAGGAGCCAGAGCCAATCGCTAGCGAATCGTTGCTGAAGCACACGGAACGCACCTCCGACTGATGGCCGAGTCGTGTTAGTGAGCGCAGCGTCTTGACACTGCTGTCCGTAGGCGCAGCTGACTTGGCGGTTGGCTTCCGCGACTTGAGCGAAGCCTCCAGGGAGTACAAAGTCATGCTGTTATTGGAAAGGCTGACTAACACGCGTAGTTCGTTGTTCTGGCCAAGTAGCACATCAATCGATTTGATTTTCTGTTTCGTTTTGATGCTCTCTAGGCGCTTTATTTCATCGCTGAGTGACATCTCCTTGGATAGATGTTCCTCATCCTCCTCTTGCGCTGCACCCTCCTGTGCCTTTTTGCGCGCCTTTTTCAGACGCTTGGCCAGTCGCTGCTTGGCTTCCTCTGCGTTGCATATGTAAAAGTTTTCAATAAGATCATTAGTGCCATGGCAGCTTAGCACGCGCTCGTTAGGATCGGCCACCAAATTTACGGTGCGCCCTTTGCCCGCACGTTGTATTGTACCGCAGTTACTGACGCTCAGTGGACTTATTGTATCCTCGTCATCTATAGCAAAGCCCTCGACAGCTGTTTCCAGGGATTGGGCTGCGTTATCTCCGCGCTTGCGTAGCCGATAGACATTCATGCCGCTTTCTCCAGCGCCGGCAACCATCAAATCATTTATAAAAGCCAAAGCCCATATTTCGGTGCGATTGTCGACAATCGTTTTGAAGCAGAACTGTGTCTCCAAGTTCCAAAATTTGATCTGTGTGTCCTTCGAGGAGCTAACCACAATGTCTTGGTCGACTAAACGCTGTAAGAAGTGTGCATCTGTAACGGCTGCATTGTGGCCGCTGAGACGTTGACGGCCCGCCTGTTCCACCACATCCACAACGACGAGCTCTGTGTCCAGACCGCCGCTCACTAGCCGCATGCCATGTGCATCGTAGCGCAGGATGCTTACAGCATTTTTGTGTAGCGCCAACGAGCATATTGCATCGTAGTACGTGCCTGAGCTCAAATCGAATATCTGAACTACACCATCCGCATAGCCTACGGCAATGTGTAAATGATCAGGTGAGACACGCAAGGCGGTAACCTCTTGCTTTTCGCGGCGCAGCGTCAGCTTACGATCGCCCATCCTACATAATATTCGAGTTTGTAATTAAAATATATGAAATTTGTGTATAAATAGCAGATGCTCACCTTAAATCCCAAATGATAACATTCTCAGCTGCCGGGGCAGCAACAAAGCGTCCCTCACTTTTCTCAAGTACGGCGAAATTCACATTGGCGCGACCAGAAGCGATTATGTTAAAACTGTCTATGGCGCGATAGGCCAAATATTGCTTAGTTAGACCCATTTTATCATTTAAACTTTAAGAAAAACAACAGGTCCACAACGCGCGTTCTTCTGCACGTGTTTGCAATGTTATTGTAAAGTGTTCCTAAATATTGCCAAAAAAGACTAACTGCAATCGATAGATATCGTGTCGAGAACGTTTAACAGCACTGAAAATTGAATCGATATATAGCCGTTATGCGCATGCGCCTGTTCCTATATTTCTAATACACCCTGCTTTTGCCATTTCACTTTTAATACCTTAATAATAACATTTCCAGTATAATCTACTCACTAAAACTCCAATTATGGCCACCCAAGGAGCTGGTAATAGTGCCAATCGCCACGAATATACAAAAAACCGTTAAGTTAATGCTATATTTGATTAAAGGTACTTCGGATTTGGACACAGAATCTGTGGAAGTTTTACGCGAACGCCTAAGCACAATGAAGCGCTTAATGGCCGAGCGTACATCTCAGCAGCAGAATAATCCAGCATCAACCGAAGAAATATTTTCAACTAAACGCCACCGATCCGCTGGCATCATCGATGGCAATTTCCTGAGCATCGCCTTTGGCGGCGCTTTGCTTGTGATTGTCACGGTTTCAGTCTATGCATTCTACAATCTATATCATGCCATACTCAAGAAGTTTCCTTCTCATCACGAGGAGTTGTAAGCAAGGCTGCATATGAAATTTTTATACATAGTAGTATGAAATTGTCTGCATTTAAATAAATACATTGCTGCGGTATTCGATTAAGACAGTAAATGAAAGCATATTTGTTTGTTTGCTGTTTTGCACTCGATTAAATTAACTATTTATTGAATTTGTTTCCATCTTAATTACAATAATCAATATTTATCATATGTTCTTCATTAAGATAGTAGATAATCGGATGTTCAAGAGCCGCAAACCGAAATACAAAGGCAGAATGCATAGACAGCAAAAAGAGAACAAAAAGCTGTTCAGGTATAGCCGATAGACCCTATAATTCTGATAAAAAAAAAAAAAACAATAAAAACAATAAGATAATGAACAGAGGAACTGAAATGAACAAGTTTTAGACGGAAAGTGGGAAAACTTTCGTGTTATGTTTACCTTACTCTCTAGCTATGAAGTTTTAACGTTTTCCTACATTTGTTTCTTTGCTTTGTTGCTTATAATCGTTAGTTAAACATATACATATATATTTATATAAATATTTTATATATATTTATATATATTATGTATATATAAATGTCGCTGCTTCTTTGCTTGTTTAAAATAAGTAACTAATATCGTTTGTTTTCGTTTTTCTTGTTTTTTTTAATTGAAATAATAATAAGTTGTTTGTGTTTCGCATTACTGCATTATTTGTTTTTTTTTTTCTTATTTCTTTTATAAAAGTTCTACTATTTGTTTAACATCAATTCGTAATTGAACATTGCGTATGAAAACGATTAATTTGAGTTTTGGCATCCAAATTTTTAAAAAGAACTTTGAAATTTATAGAAAGTTACGTTTCGATTTATAAAGATTTATTGCTGTTTGAATGGATTGTTTGGTTTGTCTCCTCCATATATTATTTGCCAGTTGTAACTGCGCTGCTTGCTGTAAGTGTGTAAGTGTGTGTATGTGTGTGCGGGGGTGGCATTGTGGGGGTTTGAGGCGAGAGGCTGGTGTCAGGGGAGACTGTCGACTTTTTACAAATTTATTTATTTCCCTATTCGTGAACAGATTCTGCAGCTGCGGTTTCTGTGGCTGCTGTTTCATTCTTTTTGGATCAGATGTTGTCTACGGAATCAGCATCGTCCTCCGAACTAATCTCATCGCCGAACTCAATATCCTCATCGAAGCCATCCTCGACGAATGTGACTGTCTCGTTGATGCGAACCGATTCCGGAAACTCGCCGTACGTCTTCAGATTTCGAGCTTCGTCTGGTGTGTACTTCAAAATGACATCGGCCTTAGAGTCCTGATAGTCACGCAAGCCGACCAGTATTATATCGCCCTGATTGATCCAAACCTGTAATATTCACAACAATAAGTAGATATTAGCAACTTATATAATTACTTTCAAATTTCATATACTGCTCTTCTGACTCAGCGCAAAAGAAAAGAAAACGGAGCAAATCAATTTTGCAGCTTGTAATAGATAACAGATCTGTAAATAAACTGCGAGTGGAGTTCTGGCTATTTCACCATGGAGCGCAATATTTCTAATAGATATATGATACTCGGATGCTTAACAAAAAGTATGTTACATTCATTCATAAAAGTTACATACATGTATGTATTAAAATAATCTTGTATATATATTTGGGAATAAATTCTTTTGTATTTCAAAGAATTTATTTAGATTTTTCTTCAGTTTATTTTATATAGCAAAAATGCTTTTGAGTTCATTAAAGTTCTCTTTGGTTTTATCTTAACTTTATGAACATTATTCAATGTAAATTAAGTTATAAACAAAATGTAGACAGCGCCTCTTTTTTTGGGAATGGGTTTTCTAAGAAGTCATTGACGTCAACGGAAGCCTTAAATCTCCAGAAATATTTGAGTATTTTAGCGATAAGTGGAGCATGTCTGCAAGTTAAGCAGTTGCCCATTTTGTAGCGGACAATTAGTCAGTTGGTCGATAACTGACCTGCAGAAATTTTCACCTGATGTGTTCATTCATAACATTCATACTACTACTCACTAGAAGACATATAAATAAAGCTCATATAAATAAATGCAATAAATTCCCAAGGAATGCATAAATATGACACATGCATAAGGCGGAAGATTGATAAGCGATATTGATGAAATGAGAAATAATTTTATAGTGAATTCGGCTTAAATGCTCATTAAGAAAAACTAATGCCTTGGCAGTTACGTTATCGTTCAAAATAAACATAGGGCTGATTGAACTTTGGAGCCTTAATCATAGGCAAGGGGAAATCTGAACGTGTGAGCGTCGGCGTGTGGCATTGGCTTAAGCCCAAATCTAATAATATGAATGTTTCGTCGCAATTTCGTATCACCATACATCATGCCCAGTGCGACTCCATCAGGTAAGTTAGATAAAAGAATCGTGACTAAAGCACATTAAAATTGGCGTATTACCCAAGGGCGCGAGCTTGTTAAGTGAGCCAAAGATAACCGGTCGATCGACATGCCGGAGCATACGTCTGGGAACCACCCGAAGACAACGGCGGCAACGACGACTACTAGTAACTGTCCGTTAGCTAATTATTGATTGCGTTGTCCGCCGTATTGGTCATGCGCCGGCAGGGGGGAAGCAATGCCTACATCAGATGGGCACACATCGTCACCATATCGGCATTCGAGGCGTCAGGTGCCATTCTTTCTATATGAACAATGTACTATAAATAATACCGGTGTGTGCTACGTATCTATATGACCGTACTTCATTTTCGCTGTAAGATGATTGAACTTGAGGTATCGCCGTAGACTCATCAATGGGAAAAAACAGTAAGCACGATATCAACAATGGTGTTAGGCCTACATAATGAAGAATAGCTTAAAAGGTGCGTTTATCAGAATGAATCATATTGCGGCGTGCGAGGAAACCTTTATATTGAATCGCATTGCGCTTTTCTCTTTAGGAGGAATCCAAGGTGTATCTTAGATATCTTAATATGCAAGTCAATATAAATATTTGATTTACAGTTTTACAGCTTAACTTAACAAACACCTGAATATGCTAATTACATTTATTAATCACTCGTAGGGCATTTCTTAGAGCACACGCTAATTTCTTATCACCTCGATAACGACAGTCGGTCTCTCTTTCTCTCTTTAGCTTATCAGCCAATGGCATAGCCTGCTCCTTACTCTCTCTCTCTCTCTCTCTACGTCTCAGCTGTGAGATAAGCGATTTGCTATAAATATAGCGAACTTATACGAAGCAACCGTAAATTGAAATAACCCATCAAGCAGTGAACAAGCAAAAGCTAACGGCAGAACACGGCCGAAGAAAAGTGAATTCCATGCAAAACTTAAAGGAAATACAAGTGAAGTGTTATCGGCACGCCAAAACAAAGGCAAAGAGCTAAAAGAGAATAAACTCAATAAAGAACTGCAACAAACCGAAGACAAAAACCTACACCTGAAACAACAATAGCAACTCACCACACACAACTCACCACACACGCTAAACCAATTCACCAGCTCGCGTTGATAAACGCGTCAAAATTTCGTTCAGTACAAGTTTAAATCCGTGCGGGGCGTGCAACCAGAGCGAGGACATCATCATGCTGTTATCCTACAGATACATCTACACATTTCTAATGACCACAATGGCCAGCATTATGGTTGTGCTCAGTTCGGCCCCGCACATGCAGCTACCCGTACGGAAATGCAGTGGACCCGGACACAACATGGCATTGAATCTGGCCACCTATGGTCTGCTGGAGAATCGTATTACCACACTGGATGCACCGCAACAGACGCACTGGACCAAGAAGTTTCTGGCCAAACGCGAAGCGAATCCACACTCGGCGCCGTACGTGGTCAGCATACAGATGATGACTCCAGACCAGGGCTTGGTGCACTATTGCGCCGGTACCATCATCAACGAACATTGGATACTGACAGCAGCCCATTGTCTCAGCTCACCCCAGGCCGTGGCCAGTTCAGTGATTGTGGCCGGCAGTCATGACATCCACAATCGCCGTGGCGAGGCGGGCAGCGTGCAGCTGCGCAACATCGACTACTATGTGAGACATGAGCTCTATCTGGGCGGCGTCAATCCCTATGATATTGCGCTCATCTACACCAAGAAGCCGCTCATATTCGACGAGTATGTGCAGGCAGCAACGCTTCCAGAGCAAGACGCCAGGCCGGAAGGCTACGGCACGCTGTACGGCTGGGGCAACGTTTCGATGACCGCCGTGCCCGACTATCCGCACAAGCTGCAAATGGCGAACATGCCCATATTGGATATGCAGCTATGCGAGGATATTCTTGCACGTTCCGGGCTCGAGCTGCACGAGACAAATCTGTGCACCGGCCCACTGACTGGTGGCGTTAGTATTTGCACCGCCGACTCTGGCGGTCCACTCATCCAGGAATGCTGTGAGCCTCATGTGGAGCAGAGCAACGTTATCATTGGCATCGTCTCCTGGGGTCGATTGCCCTGCGGCCAGAAGAATGCGCCCTCTGTCTTTGTGCGCGTCTCGGCGTTTACAGATTGGATCAATCAGATTATCACCTCAGCCACCCAGTTCATGTAGTTACATCAATCAACGCAGACACTTGATCGCAGCTCGAATGTTAAAAAAAAAATCTAAAAACATATCAAAAATACCTCAAAATGATTTTGAAAAAAAAAAACCTAGTAGCTAATCTCAGTAGTCAAATAAGTCTAAAAAAACCTTACATATATACTGCCCGTAATCTAAGCCATATTAGACTAAGTCGCAAAAAATGTTCGTAATAAAAAGAAACAAAAAAATATTTTTTATAATCCAACTAAGCAATAACTTTTTATTTAAGCAAAAAAAAAGGGGTCAATTGTGAAATTGACTTAAATTTGATGTTTCCAGGTGTCTAGTAGATAAGTTTATACAGCCAGCCACATGAAGCACTTTGCCTAGAGGGCGGGGCCTGGCGCCTGAGAGCTATGCATTAGTCATACGAAATTCGGTAGATTAGAAGTGGCCAAAAGCTGCCTCCATTCTTGGTAATCAGTTTGTGCGCATATAGCGCGACGAACTCACACTTCGTTGACATGTTTCATGCAGATAAATCTAAAGATTAGCAGCACTTGAAGTGATCAACTGCTGACTCTACGTGTGACAGGCTGATTGCGTACTAATAGGCTGCTACCCTGAACGTAAGAGTGGGTGGCTTGATTTTAGCTAGGAAGAGGCAGCTACGATTTACATAGAAGTCTGTGGGAAAGCGTCGACAGATCAGATTACTTTCCTGAAACATATCAAGACTCAGAATAGCTTTAATTTCAGCCAATTGCCCCAATCTATCTTTTTGCCGAGGATTAACTGAAATTTAAGCTGTTCTACGCCAACATTAATAAAAAATAATAAAATTAATAAATTAACAATTTCCTATGTTACTGACAGATAAGAAATGTGAAAGCTCTTCGCCGGGTATAGCCTATCTCGCAACGTAGCATTACTAGACCATTCAGTACTCAATTAATTTTTACTGCTTGAAATTTAGAGAGGGGACATGCCGCCGTCTACTGAAATTTTAATCGTTTCTTGAGTAGCACATTTCAGTTAAAATTATCATTATTTATTTTATGATAGATATGTTATTTCATCATGTGAGTTTATAGAACTAATGAAGGCACGCATTTTGCCCCGTTGTTACATCGAAGAAATCTTAGCCCTCGAGCTAAACCTAAAGGCGATGTATAGACCAGAACAGTGGAGCGAACCACTGATAATTCTTAAGCTTGTATAGCATTTACTTAGTAACACTCACTATCGAAATGCCTGTAGACATAGCAGCAATCCCAGCGAACAACTCGAAAGATTAGCTGTCATTGCCACACACAGCTTAGAAAACAATTAGTTACTACCTTGACTTTTGTAGGACGTAATCTAAGGACTATTATTATGTAAGTTTGCCAAAGTACATTCGAATGGCGCCTGGCGTCAGCATTTAAATGCTTAACTGGTAAGTCATTATGAGACCACATAAATGACCCGCTGATAAGGAAGACCCTATAATTCCTTAACATAAATCAAGTGAACACTATATGTTTTATAACCATATTGCGATGTACATTTTGTAAATTTTCTACACATTATTTCCTGGTAGCTATTAATGGATTCCAGCCCATATTCAATTAAGGTATTTAATAAAAGGTATTTTAATAAAAGTTACTACATTTCTGTTCTTTCATTTCAAATGCGTTTCATTTTGATATTTGCTGGACAAAGTTCATTGCGTATCTGCATACTTTATAGGAATTTATATATTCTTATCTTTCAATTTTCTCGGACATGATATGTTGCGGTCTCTTAAGGTACACCAATAATTTCTGGTGTAAATAAATCATGAACTCAATTTTTCTCAGATAGGAATCATTTTCTATTTATGACGTAGCTGGTTATCTACGTAACTACGTAGACGCAATTTGTTATTTATTGGTCTCTTTACTAGCTCTTCGGGTAAGTACCCAAAACTCTGGTGGAAATCAATCTCAAATGCTGATTTGTATAAATTGCATTAATACTAATTTATTGACTGACTAAGAAATAAAATAAAATGTATTATATACAAGATCTTAAACACTTAAATAATCAATTTCCCACAGGAAGTCAAAACACAGATTAATCTATAGAAGTCTTTATAGCTAAAGGCTTGGGCTTGCATTGTACATGTGCATGTGTTTACACACTACACCTAGACTACTTAAAATACAATTCAAATAGCAACATTTAAATACGTAGGCAGTTATTTTCAAGAATATTTAATAAAAATGTTGTAATAATAACATGACGATAGATTTAAGTATGTGATGTACATACTGAACCATACATGCATACGTACATAGATTTGTAAGTTCAATGAGTTTTGCTTTGTTCGCATTTTCTGAAGGCCGTTGCTCAGATCGGCGAAGCATGCCAAAATTGTTTAGATATTTAAAACAAATTTGACCAGGTGAGCTTTATGAAACAATACATAAACTTTTCGGCTTGTAGAGAAATTGTTTACAAGCGTGATAAACTTTAAATCACATTGCAATTATGTTGGCAGGCGTCGCAAATACAAATACACACACATTCACGCATACATATACATATGCATACATTTGCAAACAGTGCACGCAGCACACGTTCGTACATCAAGAGCAGCACTCTTTCACGCATACATTGAAACACCCACACATACACATGTACTTACCTTCTTACGAAGTTTCCCCCGAATATGACACAGACGTTTGACGCCATCAAAGCACATTGCCTCCAAGCGACCATTGCCCAGCATTTTGGTCACCTGTGCGTACTCCTGTTGATCCTCTTTGAAGATCAGCTCACGCTTTTCGAACTCGTTTTCGTTCTTTCCACGACGACGATTTTTGCCACCTTTTCCTTTATTCTTAGGCATTTTGCTGCGTTGTTGGTTTAACTAGTGTCTCTTGTCTGGGGTGTTGTGCTACGCTCTTGACGTACTTGACGATATTTAAATGATTTATCACAAACTGCACTACAAATTAAAAGTTATTAGATCATATTATATTCAATTTTAACTTCAAATTAAATAACAAAACTTACAATTTTGCCAAAGAAATGTGACAAATTTTGCCTCGCTAAAGTGAAAAGGAGTGAGACAATTTAGAGATGTTGATATTGTATCGATGTATCGATAGTTATTGCGATATATTTGATTATCAGTGTGAACCTATCACATCAAATATATTCATCCAAGTAGCAAGTGGCAGCACATGTACTAGTCAACACGGTGGCAAGTCAAAAATTTATTGTAACAGGTAATAATTTAAGATGCCTCCCAAGAAGGACACGAAAGGCGGCAAGGATAACGCAAAAGGTGGAAAAAAACCTGCTGCAGAGGATAAATGTATAGATGGAATGCGAGAGTATACATCCATAAATATTCACATAACTCATTTGCAGGTGCCGGTAAAGAGAAGAAAGGTGGCAATGCTGTGAAGGTGAGACACATTCTCTGCGAGAAGCAGGGCAAAATTATGGAGGCAATGGAAAAATTAAAAGCAGGTCAGAAATTTCCTGAAGTGGCAGCTGCCTACAGTGAAGACAAAGCTCGTCAAGGCGGGGACTTAGGCTGGCAAATACGCGGTGCAATGGTCGGGCCATTTCAGGATGCAGCTTTCGCTCTGCCCATATCCACGGTCAACAGCCCCGTTTACACAGATCCACCGATAAAGACTAAATTTGGCTATCACATAATCATGGTCGAGGGAAAGAAATGAATAATGATTTTATAAATCGTATTTATTGTGAGCATATTGATATTTTTTTATAAAAACAAAAATTCAAATGGCATTTATTTCTTGCCCGAATCCTCTTTGAGTCCTACGGTGCGATTGAACACAATTCGTGTGCCAGATGTTTCCGGATCCACAGAAAAGAAGCCAATGCGTTCGAATTGGAACTTATCATACACCTTTACGCCCCTTAGCGATTGATCGGAGTACGCATGCATAACGGACATGGAGTTTTCGTTTATGTCGCTGAGAAATCCGCCAGGCACTTCATTGGGATCCTCGGGATTCTTGTGCTTAAATAGCTGCTCATATAGGCGCACCTCCAGCTCAATTGGCTGTGAAACCCACTGTACAAATGCCTTCGGTTTCTCAGCCTGCTCCGCAGATTCGCTGTTGCAAACGAGCTCCACCACTTCGCCCGTGGCAGGATCACGGATAACTTCTTGCACATTGATGACCAGACCAGCGTGGCGCAAGCCAACAGATTGCTTGGTGGACAAGCGTCGATAACCCTTTTCTGGTTCCAATTTGAAATCGCTGCGCTCAATATAGATAACACGATCCAGGGTAATCTTGTGCAAGCCAAGTGATGGGTTTTGTGGAAAGTTAGGAACTTGCAATTCCACTGGCCCCGCATTGGGATAGTTGCTGATGGTTACTTTAAGTGGCTGCAATACGACAAGTCGTCGTGGCGCAGTAACGTTGAGCACATCTCTGACGGCAGCCTCAAGCATGGAGGGATCCACAGATATTTGTGCACCCGTCACACCCATTTGGGCACAGAAATTATTGATAGCCTCTGCTGGAAAGCCGCGTCGCCGTAAAGCCGTTAATGTAAAGAGGCGTGGATCATCCCAATCGTGGACAATACGTTCGGAAATAAGTTTGGCAATTTTTCTCTTAGAAACGAGCGCATAGTTCATGTTCAGGCGCCCATATTCCCACTGCACGGGACAGTAGATGTTGAGAGCATTGCAAAGCCAGTAGTAGGAGGACCGACGAGACTGAAATTCCTTGGTGCACAGTGAATGGGTTATATCTTCGATCGAATCACATAGACAGTGGGTGTAGTCGTAGGTTGGATAAATGCACCAGTCAGAGCCAGTGCGATGATGCGGTATAAACTTAATACGATAAGCAACAGGATCCTGTTTACCTTCTTCAAGCGTCAGCTTGAGGCGCAGTGTGGCAGCACCCTCGTCAATCTTGCCATGTTTCATGTCCTCAAACAGCTGCAGAGATTCATCGACAGATCGCTCGCGCCAAGGACTCGGAGGTGGATTAAAACCCTTTAGTTCTTCTGCCTTCTGGTGACACACATAGGCCAAGTTTTTTTTTATCAGTACTACAGCCCATTCATATAGCTGCTGAAAGTTGTCCGAAGAATATGTTATCTTGTACGGTGTGTAGCCGAGCCACTCAACCATTTGGCGAATACCAATGAAAAACTTTTCCTCCTCCTTCTCAGGATTTGTGTCGTCATATCGCAGATAGCAGACACCTTTTTGGGCGGCTGCATAACCGAAATTGATGTTGATGGCCTTGGCATGACCTATGTGCAAAATGCCATTTGGTTCAGGAGGGAAGCGTGTTTGGACCCGACCGCCTGTGCGCTGCAAATGATCGCGCAGTAGCTGCTCTGTGTGATCGGTGACCACATAGCCATCGGTCTTAAAGTTGTCGCCTGGTGCATGGAAGTGCACCTTAGTTTTCATAAGCTCTGCAATCGTATTGGCACCGTCGTCATCTGGAGTAGCTGCTGACGTTGAGGATACTTTGACATCGGACTTGACGTCGGTATTAGCTTTGACTTTGAGCTGCTTTTCATTCTGCTTGGGCAAAGGGATTAGATCAGTCTCAGTTTTGGGACCTAGTAAATCGAATATTTCAACATCGATGGCAGCTTTCAAGAACTTTGCATCTGCCCATTTCAGTTCATTGCGGACATCCTGCATAATCTTAAATGAATTGAAGTGATAGCGTTGCTCAAGTAAGATTTGCTTGTAGGTGCCCTTAACTTTATGCTGCACAACCCGTTCAATCTCCTCAGGCGTGACTACGACACCAACACCGCATTCACGATCCAGCTCGGCCACATCGACAGTTGCGTTCTTCTTCTGTACGCATTTTAGCAAGTATTCCAGTGCAGCGTCAACGCGTTGCGTATTGTCCAGCTTGCGTTCCGAAATGTAGCGCACTAAAAGTGGTAATTCTGCCGCTATTTGAGGCTTCAATTTAGTTGCCATGTGGTAGAGTAGCATGCCAACACCATCGCTCAGCGGTTTGGTTGTTTCGGCTAAGGCTAGCTGCAAATTTCGTGTCACATTGGCATTCTTAATCGTCTCCTTAGCCTTCTGTTCACTCATGCCAAGCTCCTGAAATTTTATAATCAAATCCTCTCCGGCCATATCTTCGTAAAGTTTCGACACATATGATGAAAAAAGTTCACAAATAGTGGTGTCAAATGAAATTTAGATGAGCTATAAGCGATACTTATTCAGTCATACCAACGTATCGATAGTACACAAATAATTAGTGACACGATATACATTCTTGCAGTTGCAAGATATATATTTACAGCATGAACTCATTGGGAAATCAGTGCAATGTTTTTTTTTTTAATAGTAAGGCCCTATATAAAATGCAGAGATCACGCTTGTTTCAAATAATCGATAGCTATTGCCACTTTATTATTATCGATTAAAAACGTCCGATTTGAAAATATAGCTCGTACATTTTCGAAGATAGATTATCCAAATATTGCATTTAGCTTAATCTAAATTTTATACAAATTTAATTTTTGCTATATCCCAAACCTGAGCTTTCTCACTTGTTTTTACATTATTGGGAGTAGATAAGGCATTATTTAAATGATGTATTCTTTTAAGAAATTGAAAATTGAAAATGAAAATGGTCTATTAAAACGAATTCCTCTTTTGGTTAAAGTCATTTTACTGTAATATATTTCTAATTGAGTGTACATTTGATTTTCAAATTTTGAGCGGAACTGCTTAGATTGTCTTTTGTTGATACGGTGGGCACTGATGGTGGGAAGACTCTGAATAATTCCGTTTCCATTACTATACAAACATTGTCATGTAAAATTTGATATTACCGGTGCCATCGATTTGATCATTGATTTCAATATTTTTGGCCCACATCTTGCATGTGACATGAATCTTTTTCTCGTGAGGAATATTTTTCATCTGTACGGCAATAAGGCGATCCAAATCGTTCATGTACTTTGATCTGTCAAAAAAGGGATGTGGCATAAAATTAAATTTCACTGCCTTGTCTGACTCGCATGTCACCCAGATCTTGCCTCCACCAGGGTACTTTTTAATCATATCTTTCAAGGCTCTTGGTCTCTTTTTCGGCAGACTAGCGATATCGTCATAAGTTTTGGCATGAAATCCAATCATTTTATTGAACTTGATGAATACGCACGGAGTCTTGGTGCGATATCCCCATAATTTGTCTTTATTGCAGTCCTGGAATTTCTGTGGTACTTCAGGACCGAACTTTTCTAGTAAATTGTCTATCTCATCTGCATAATCATATGTCTCCTCTGGTATGGCAATATGAAATTTAATCATAGCGTTTCTTGGAAATCTTGAAAACCCGGGTCCAGGCTTAGTATACATTGGCTCCGATTTGCCTTTAAAATGAAGCTGGTAAAAAAAAAAAATCACAGTGATGAGGATAAAGGTGATCAGCAGATACAACAATAGATAGAAGAAAATAATTCTTCCCCATCCCTTCGCGGTGCGGGCAAAAAGTTTATGATGCTCCAAGTCGAGTACGTTTTTATGCCATGGCATGTCCTTTCTTTTTCGCTGATCTTCCAAATGTCGAAATCGTTTTTTAACCTCGTAGTTCCCAGCAGGGACCATAGACTGCGCTGGCATAATGGAGTTTAAAACAAATATTAAAAAAGTGAATTCTGGCGTTTTTTTTTCTTTGGTTTTTTTTTTGTTTTTTATGTAGAATTGAAAATTTTGTATCTACTGATGTGACTTAACATTTTGAATGAATGTAACATGCCAGCTGTGATTATTACTTTTATATTTTTATACTAAACAGTTCAAAGAATTATCTCATAGTCTGACTCGGGATTGGGTAATACTTCAAAACCATCGACATGAAACACAAAAATTACCGATGCTACACTATCTGGTATGTTTTTCGCATAGGCTGTACATTTTATAATAACATCGTGATTAAGTGGAATGTCTTCAAATTTGATGCAAGCGAGACGGCGATATCCTGGATTCTCATAGTATTTCTCATCTGTTAAGTTCTCGGAGGGAGAATAAACAAATATATATTCTTTCTTAAACAAAGACTCAGAATTAAAATATCTGTATGGTATGTAGCTTATTTTCACAATGGTTCTGTTATTAATGGGTATACAGTCGATCCAAACACGATTAAAGCGCTCTCCCAGCGGCAATTCCATAATATACTCGTGCAACTCTGAGGTCGCTGCTGGGGGCAAAGCTTTTGAGGTGCTATATGTGTCAGCATTAAAATTTACTGCATAATTCAGTTTTAATATTATACTTGGCTGACCCGTATTGTATCCCCAGTTATCATCTAAATTACACTCACGGAGGTGCTGAAATGCTTCGTGTCCGTATTGGCTTATAGCTTTATACAATGTTGATATATGTGGTGCATCTTCTTTTCGGCAATCTGCTTGGTATCGAATTATTTTGATGTTCCCCACATAGTTCCCGGGAATAGATGATAAGCTCGTAGTTTTTAGCTCGAAGGGTCGGTCTTTATGTACACGAAGATTGTAGATAATTAGTATATTTAAAGTTAAAAGAATTCCAATACACACATAGAGTGCTGAATATAAGCCGATTATCCTAATCAATCTAAGTATCGAGAATTTTGGTCGAAGAACGAAAGTTCTTTTGTCTTCAGAAAGATTCTTCTTTTTTCTTCGCTCCTCGACACGTCGTCGTCTCATAGTTAATTCGTAAGGTCCTTTGGGCCTTATTAATTCGTTCGGCATGCCTCGCTATTTTGTGAGCTTGTAATGTTGATATGTTCAGGCATTAATCATGTAGTATACTTCGATTTAAGAGTGAACTGTTAAATACAAAATGTTTTTTAAAGTTGGTAATTTTCTATCGTGTCCAATTATTATTATTGTTTAATCGATTGCACTTGAGTTGACTATACCGATATGTAGTATTCGATAAGTTGAGGGCAGGTTTCGATAGAAACAGCTTTTTAACATGTGTGTTGTTAAGGAAATTGGAGGGAATAGTGAGACGGAATTGTATTAAACGAAATCTAAAACAATGAATGCGCCACCATTAAATCGGATTCCTGGTACGGCACAGTCGAAGGAACAACATGTCAAAGATCTCAAAACCCTCAGATACCATGAGCTACTAGAAATGAGGGATAGACAATCAAATATATTGGCATCCAAGTAAGTCGCAAAAGTAGTTTCATTTGTAAGCGAAATAACAATTTGTTGCGTTGTTGATATTAATGCAAAGAAAGCGACTAGAGACATTGCCAGATAAAGGAAAGCGTGTACGCGAGTCACACGAAAAGTTACTTGCTGAGATTCAACGTCGCAATGATGTGGAGGCAACTGCTAATCTTCTCGGCGACCTGAACATTGCGTCAAAAGGAAAAATAGCACTCAATAATCTGGAATGGCATGGTAAAACTGCTCCTGACAGTTCAAATGTGACCGATCTGCTTGACAGCGACGACGAACAAGAGATGGATCCGTTGCGAATTATTGCCCAAGGTACAATGCATCAGCGCCAAGTCAAAGTCCTACCGCCGCCCGCCACGCTTATCACTCCTGAAGATGTTGCTGACATTGCATCATTTGGGCAAGTGCAAGCGCCTGATTCATTAGACTCAAGCCAGACTAATCAGAGCACGTCAAGTAGTTGCAGTGGGCAAGATTATAGCAAAACAATCCCAGCTGAAATAATAGAAATTGATGTTGGCAAATTGATCGGTAAACGATCTACTGAAGCCTCGTTGGAACAACATGCACTGTATCTCATAGATAAGACTGAACTACACGCTGTGGCAACGGAGCGTGAAAAGTTTTTACCTTTCCGCACTACAGTATCAAATGTGCATGATCCGGATAAAGAGCGCAGACGAAAAAAAGGCAAACATTGGGAGATCACCGCTGCTACGCCTCCACTCATACAATACAAAGAGATTCAGTTAGTGCCGCTGGCGGAATCCGCCAGCCTCCAAATCGATTATATGCAGAAAATCAAGGTAAATGCATGAATATGTTTATTCAATTGATTATATATAGCCGCACTTGTTACTTAAAGGAGCTACGCATACAACAGGCAGAACAGCGTCTGGCCAGGCGATCTACGCCACTGATGGGCATACTTCTTCCCGATGATTCAGTGCTGAAGACCAAAGCTTCATTTAATAACTATCGTGATCCGCAAGTCGATTTTCTGATAGAAGGCAGAAAACAGGCGAGAGAAGAAAAGGAAGTGCTTGATCCAACAATAACTGAGAAAGCCACAGGTGGCATTAGTTACTCAGTTTATAAGTGAAGATTATAAGCAAATTAAGCTCAATTAGCAATTAAGCTCCTGTATTATAAGAGATATTGTGAAACATGCTTAGGTTACATAATCATTTATTAAAAATTGTCAAATCGAAACAATTATGTGATTCAAACAGTTTGGTCTAAGTAATGTGTATTTAATAAATAATATGAAAAAAACTATTGTTCCTTTCGCTAGCACGTGGATAACAGGCTAAATATCAATGTTGAATAAATACGAGTTTTGATAGCTTTAAGTTCAAATGGAGTAAAACTGTGTTGCCGTCGAGGCTTGAAGTTCTATTTGGCCCATTTTAAATTGCAAATGCTGCAACCATTTGAGAAGCGCTTCTGATTTATGGGTCTGCTGCTCCTCAAAATCGGGCGCATAGTCCCGTACATTTTGCAGCCGGACATGCAGCGTGTCTGATAGCTGTGTTTGCGAAGAGAGAACAGTGCTCCACATGGGCAACAGCTTGCCCAGCACCGTGGAGTTAGTTTCCTTCAGGGCTTCCAGTAGGCTAAGGAAGTGTAAGTTAACCATTTCCGACAGCTTCGAGTTGGCGTTTTGGGCTTGGAAGTCCACGCTAGCTTGTGCGTGGAGTTCCTTATTGGCAGGTTTGGCATGCGACACCAGTTGCAGTATGCTTGGCGTCACCTTGGTCCAAAACTCAAAGAGTACGCCGAGCGTACTGCCCTCGGCATTGCTGGTGGTGTTATGCGCCATTTGCTCTAAGTAAACGGTCCACAATTGGCAGAGAGTAAATGCATGGAACAGCGACGACATGTGCAATACCGAGGTCTTGGACTGCTCGGCGAAGCCCGCAAAGATCACCTGAATGTGATCGGCTATGTGACAGGATGCTTCCTGTGGCACAGGCTGAGAGTATGTGACTCCTTGATGCTGGTAATGTACAGTAGCTACCGGCGGTTGGCCCTGTCCTGGTGCCACATTCGGGGGAAGAATTGGCGGCAAAGTGTGTGTCTCTTGACGTCGCTGCACCAACGCCATGTGGGTAAGTGAGCCCAGCAGCAGCCACGAGAGCAGGCGCATATGACCTACACATTCTGTAAACTCCTTAGGGCTGCAATGAGGGAAATCGGTTATTTGGTGGTAATAATAATAATAATAATAATAATAATAATAATAATAATAATAATAATAATAATAATAATAATAATAATAATAATAATAATAATAATAATAATAATAATAATAATAATAATAGCAGCTTACCCCTGCTGCAGTGAAGAAGGAGCATTATTTAGCCAGGGCAGATAGCGGGAGACTGCCTTGTTGTCGCGGGAGTTGCCACGGGACATCTCGAGTGCCAGATATTGTGCCACAGCGCCCTTTAGCACACCGCCCAGGGTGTCCTCGCCCAATCCATTGTTAGTTTGACCGTTCTTAAAATTCTGAAAGAGCAGAAGTTAAGCCAGTATAATACCGATATACAGAAAGACCTACCTTGATCTTGCTGAGCGTGTGGAAGTCTGCAAGGAAATCGATCACATCGTTGATGTACTGCCTCAAACAGTCGGCAGCATTTGTGGTTAGTACAGGCGCTGCTTCTGGTAAGCCGGGCAAAGCACCTGGGGGTAAGCTGCCGCCAGCATCAAGTAGAACAAATCCAATGATCATCAGCAGATTGTGATCGGGTATGTTTGACTTGAACTTAAGCGCCTGCACAAACTCAAAGATCATTTGTCGACAAAGTAGGTTCTTGTCACGATCCTTGTTAAAGGAGCGTGTGCTCAGCGTGCACAGATCGTAAAGCGTTTGGTATTCCAGGTTGGTGTGCTGCACGCAGTAAGCCATAATCTTGGAATACGGATCGAGCAGGGTTTTGGGCACGCAGTTCAAGCGCAATGTGGCCACAATCAGATCCAGCATATATTCGGCATTGCTCAGGCTGGGCATGATGACAATGACCTGACGCAGCAATGATTCCATGGCCTGCATGGCCTGAGACCAGACAGCCAGGCCGACTCCCGCCTCGACGGGCACACACTGTAGATACTCGGCCATGTTTCGAAAGATGATTGGCAGCTGATCGACGGGCAGGGCCTTCTTCGATGTCAAAGATTCGCAGACCATATAAATGGGACTAGTCGCATTTAGATCCTGGAAGTCTTGCAACGCTTTGGCAATGCTGCGGAAATGGTTATGTCGTATCTTAACTGCAAGGCGAAAGAGATACTCAGTCTAGTGGTTCATTCGAATATGCTGTCAGCTTACTTTTCATTTGGGTCTGGAACACCTGCAGGAAGATGCCATTCGGGGCCAGTTGATGTAGAACGCAGCGGATAAACTGCAGTGCCACGGCCTGGGCACTGCTCGCCAGCGGTAAGCCGTTCTCGCCTTGCCAGGCATGCGTGCCGCTCAGACAGATTCTGAAAACGTTCACAATCAATTGGCAATGCGATTTGGCTATGCTTTGGCTTAGATCACTCACCGCGATGTCATAGTCAGCACCTCGGGTAGAAATGGCGCTGCTATTGCTGGTTCTCGGTGAATAAAGGTGCCCAGGATTACAATGAATATGCCAATCTCTTCATCCGTATATTCCTCGATGACAGCACCGCAGTCAGAGCAGCGCTCCACAATAGTGTAGTTACCAACACGTCGGGAGCTCTGCTGAAAATCAAAGCGATGTATTAAATACACCCTGTAAAATGGAATTTCATGTTAGAATTAACTTACCCCTCGATGCGCATGGGTCGATGAATGCGTCGTGTGTCCATTTGCCACTTCGGGCGTATCTTCGCCGTCTTCGTCGTGCTCCTCGACTGGCTGGAACGGCGGTGGTGGCCACGAGCCGGCAAAGCGCGATCGTATGTCCGGTATGGCATTGGTGTCCACGTTGAAAGGTGCCAGCTTTTGTCTGGGTCGTTTGATGCTATTCGAGGTGGTCGATGGCCCAGTGGGATGTGGCTGACGCTCACTGGGCAGCTGCTTTAGATCCTGTGTGACATTTTTTAGAATGGATGTGTGCAGATCTTGCTGGGTATGCGACTGCGGTAGGGGCTGTGGTTGCACAACTGGAGTAGCTATCGGTGCATTCGGATTGGGTGGGGATTCGAGAGCCACCTGCTTTATAAGTCGACGCGGCGAGTTGTTGCGGCTGCTCTGTGTCACATCGTCCTTGGTGCTTTCGGACACATCCAAGCTGTCCTGCTTGAGATGACTTATGTCGGGCAGATTAAGTCCATCTCGCATGCGCTCCACCAATGTGGCAACCGTATCCTGTGTGCCGATGGGCAGCAATCGCTCAGGTGTTGGTATCTCCAATGCGGCAATATTCTTGGAAGGTGGCAAGAGACCCGCATCTAGCTCATCACATGGATTGGGCATTACACTCATCTTAGATAGGGGCGAGTCCGGAGATCCGTATGGTTTGTCATTGCGCCTCAGCGACTTTGTCTGCGACTTCTTTTGACGGGAATCATCCACTGAGGAGCTCGATGTACCGGCACTGCACTCCACGATGGTTTTGTGGCGTCCAATGGACTTGGCAATGCCTGATGCAGGAGCGCCACTGGCCCCGTTTGTGGAGCGACTGCTGTTGCCACCACTGGTGCTGGGCTTACTGCCGCTAGCTGTGGGCAGGTCCTGCAGGGCGCCCAGCGCCTTCAGGTGATTGGTGGCAATGGCTGCAAACATTTTGGACGTGGACGCAGCAGCGTTCTCTAGCGATTTGTTGCGCACGGTAACCGCTCGATGCACATCGACGGGCGGACTGACAATTGCTGTCTCTGTCGTCTCCGATCCGACTAGGGGAGTCACGATCATGCGTACACCCTCCTGCAGGCTGTGCCGCGTGTGGGTAGTTACCACTGTGGTGCTAACGGATTCGTTGGTCTTTATCTTCGTTGAATAAGTGTCTCCAGTTTTGGTGGTGATCAGGGACTTGTGCGTTTTAGATTTCTGTATGTGAATACGTTAGAAACCAGCCAAAAGAAGAAGAAGAAAGGAAAGAGTGACATGGTCTTACCTCCTCGGAGTACTCCATGGTTCGGCGATTCCGTAGCGACTCCATCTTTGTGGGCAAGATGTCTTCAAAGTGAATGGTATCATCAAAGGAGCCCTAAGCAAAAATTACAATTAGTGTGAAGCTTGGACAGCCTTGGCAATTAAGCCTACCGGTGCACTGCTGCCATGAAGTGTGCTATCGGACAGATCACTCTCGGGTATGGCCACCAGTTCTGATTCAGTTTCATCCGCATCTAGGCTGGAGTCGTTGTACTTGCGGAAGGCGTGTTGGAGTTTGGGCGTGAAGGCGACATTTTGACCCTTGCTCTTGGACGCAGCGCTAGTGCCTTCAGATGGAAACATGGGACTGGCCGGTGGACTGGCCTCTTTGTCATCGGGATCTGTGCCCAAAGAGGGCTGGCTAACGTCACGTGATCGGGCTGCACCGCCGACGCTTGTCTGTATATCCAGAATGGTGGTGGTGGGAATGCGTCGGCATTGATGGAAATGGCCGCGCAGGCTGTTCATAATCATGCGAATGGCCGAGATGACATATCCACTGAGCGGTGGCTGTGTGTAGGAGTACTTATAGAGCACGACCAGTAGTGTAAAGAGCCAATTGCGGCGCGGATACTGCTCCAGATGCCACAAAGAGTAGTTGAAGACAATGTTCTGATACGATTCGCCCGAAGTGCTCGTCGGATTGGGTGCATACAAAATGATCTGCATGACAGACGGCAGCATGAGTCCTCCAATCAAATGATTTTGATCTAGGACCTGCGGCAGATTGGCCAAAAACGCATTGAATACGGCGGAAACACTGCAAACAGTAGCAAGTTGTAACATATTTCATTGAGATTAAATTTCAGCAACTTACCGCAACGATTCGGGCGTCGTATGGAAGGTCTTGTCTATTTGATTGTGGCCCAGTAGCAAGAACAAATGCTTCAAGACAATGTTTTGGGTCCGGGTGACGGGCTTATCCTCGGATGGAAAGGCCTGATCTGTACGGGACATGAACTGCATCAGCATAAAGACTAGCAAATGAATTGTCTCTCGATCCGATTCCTCTAGCTCCGTAATGCGGCTAAGCAGGCCAAT